AAAAATCATCTTCTCAAGAACCATTGGGCCAGGAAAGATGAAACTGATGTGGAATCATACTCAGGTAGTGTAGATTCAAATTTTTTCAAATCATGACATCAGGGCTAGGGTGGGGCCAAAATGGCCGATCAAAGTTTTACATAGGAAATATATAGGAAAAATCTTTTAAAATCTTCTTCTCAAGAACCATTGGGCCAGGAAAGGTGAAACTCATGTGGAATCATCCTCAGGTAGTGTAGGTTCAAGTTTGTTCAAATCATGACCCCTGAGGCTAGGGTGGGGCCAAAATGGCCGATCAAAGTTTTTCATAGGAATATATAGGGAAACCTTTTAAAATCTTCTTTTCAAGTACTTCAAAGCCATGATTAGTGATATTTATATGGAATCATCCTAAGGTAGTGTAGATTCTAGTTTGTTCAAATCATGACCCTCTGGGGGGTTAAAATTCAACCCCCCCCTTCAGTAAACTTTCAGTTCTGATCTGATATGTGCTTTTTTCTAGCCGATGTGCTCAGGTGAGCGCTGTGGCCCCTGGGCCTCTTGTTACAGTTTAAATTTAGTAACAAATATTACAGATGTCATCATTATGAAAATCTGATCTGGTAATTCCTTGAATTATTGACCCATTTTGTATAAGAGAACAAATAAGTTTATATTTATGCCCTGGGTTTTAAGATCTTGGGCAAGTTGCATTTCCAAATTAGTAGTTTCTTGTAATCTTGAAATACCATTTTAAAAAGCACACACATTTTTCAGTGAGTTTTTCTGTACAAATTTTGTTTTATTAGAATCAAAATATGGTCCAGTTATCGATGCAATCATTTTCTTGTACAGGGGTTTTGGAGCAAAGGCAAGTTGTACTGTCCAAAATGTAAGGGAAGGATTGGATCGTTTGACTTCACTTCAGGAAACAAATGTTATTGTGAGCAGTTCTTACTCCCTCCTATTCATGTTCTGTGTTGTAGAGTGGACCAAATTTCACAGGTTGGACAACAAGGTAAAAACATTTTTGCACATATTTGCAATGAAATTCATACAGATTCAGTGTAGACCATGGTGTATTTTTTTTAATACAAAATAGAAAATAAAAGAAAACTTATTTATAGGACAGTAACTCTAATGCAAAGATGCTGAAGTAGTGCAGTCACTCTTTAAAATGGTATGCACCAATGACCTTGATGTTTGAAATTTTATGTAATAAATGCAATTTAGAATTTTTTGAAAATTAATTTCTTTCAAAACACAAGGCTGTCTTATACATCTTGATTATAAACCATTACCATGTTGCTTTGATTCAAGTTCAGGATTGTAATGGGGCCACAGCTTTAATACTCACTTTCTGTATTAAAATAGAAAGGGGAAAAAAGTCAAAAATGATCCTCTGAAAATTATCGAGGGTAAGGTAAATCTGGTGAGTGTTGTGACCCATGGGCCTCATAATGTAAATTAGTTGCATATTGAAGTTCATATTAGGGAAACATATTAGGTGCTGCCAATTGAGACCAATTAAATTAAAGAGATTTAAAATTTTAAAAAAGAGTAATTCTTATAATGATTCAATAGTTTCTTGATAAGGTACATGTAATTTTATTGCTCTAAAATATTATTATGTTTTTAGCCATAACTGTACCACATGAGAGAAAGCTTTCTACAGTTAAGGACAACACAGAGCTGGATCAGTCGCCTTCTACCACTGGACCTGAAGCCCCAGATTTCACAAAGTTACATACCACTGGTACTTATCAAATTCTACAGCTGATACAGAGTCTGTCTCTTTAATCATTAATTGTAAACAGACACTTGTCAACTCATGGATGAGGTTAGGTAAGGCCATTTAAAATATATAAAAAAAAATTACTTGCCCTCTCTTGACTTTAGTCTTAGGATGGAAACATTGGGTAGGGAGGTTAGGACAGTTTATTTCTATACATTTAAAAACCCTTGCAAATAATAAAGTACTTATAATCAGGCAAGAAAACCATTATCAAGAATAAGTAAAAAAAATTATTGTGTCTAGCTGCAGGAAGTTAAAAAAGTTTTGGGATGGGCCACTTTTGGTCTGTCTGTTGGGAGAAGGCAAACAAACAAGTTTGAAAGATGGTATAATTGAAATTTATTTCTGAGGAAATCTGTCTATAATTAAACCCACATTTCTACATATTAGTCAAAACACACTAGCTGAAATGTAAAACACACACTATGTATCACCAAAAATGACATTATCTTAAATTGTGATCTCATTATCGTAACTTAAGAATCAATGCAATGCACAAGAGAAAATTCTGCACTAAGAAAAAGTCAAGATTATCATCATTGAGCTTATTTAAAAAAACTTATAATGCATGTTGATAAAATTTTGAAAAAAAAGTGTTATTTAGAATAAAAACAAAAAATCATCCATAGCCTAATTTTATCTGACATGAGCTGAGAGCTAAAGTGAGCTTTTCTGTTCACATTTTGTATCATGTTTATGTATGGTGTCTGTAGTGAGTACTCTGTCAGTCTGTTTATTCTCCAGTGGCCAGATCAGTCAACTGGCAGAGACCTTTGAGGTCATAAGGTTATAGGGCTAAGTTTGAATCTTGATCTGATCTTTGTAAGTTTTTTTCTGCTGCTTCTTAGGCAGATACAGAGGAAATGAGACTTAACCTAGCTGAGTGGTGACAGAAAGTGACAAATGATTTGCTATTAGTCCTGTAAATAAGAAAATATGAAAATTGGACATGTTTCTTGGTAAAGATACCAAACAGTGTTCAATTTCAAAAAAAATCATGAAAACGATATAAATATGTATAAAGGACATAATGGAGCCCGGAAATTCCAGAGATGAGATCAGGTGCCTAGTAGGAGTAAGCATCCCCTGTTGACCGCTCACATCCTCCATGTATTGCTCAGGCCGTGACAGAACTATCCATAGGGAATGAAATATCACATTTTTGTTTCATTTAAACATCATTGTCTCTCTGCAGAAAGAAAAAACAAAAGGCTACGGAAGAGAAGAATGGTGGTACATGAAGAACATGATGATGCCAGGGAACAGGCATATGTTGTCTGTAGAAATCAGTTTGAAGTATTAGAACATGAAGTAATAATAGAAGAAAATAACCATGAAGTTGAAGAAGAAAATAAACAAGAGCAAGAAGTGGAAGCAGAGAACACTGTTGAAAAGTCATTTTGGGTAATAATGCAAACCTTCATCACATAGTGTTTAAAAATTGTGAAACAAATAGGTTTTAATCATTTCATATCAAGATGTAGCATTGGTTTCTTTTAATCACTTGTAGGAGCTGCCTGATGAATATCCAGTATCTGTGGATGACTGTTGTCCAATTTGTCTGGAGCTTTATTGTCTCCCTACAGAATGTCATCCTTGTCATCACATATTCTGTAATTCCTGTCTGCGCAGATTGGCTCGGGAAAGGCCCTGGAGCACGCTCTGTCCATTGTGTAGGAAGATCATAACGAAATGTATCAGAGACAAAGGTATGAACTTTTGTACACATATTTATTATGCTGGAGTAGAATGTGTATTAATAATTAAGGAACCGATTTCTTAATTTTTTAAAATTGGGATTTATGATTGCAACATTGTTTAAAAACATAATGCAAGTAAACAAAGATCTATATTTATTTCTCTGTAAATTATTAAGGACAAATAACACAAACTTTTTTTTCAGATACACTACTGTATCTGCAATATTTATCATAGATTAAAACTTAACAAGGTAACCAGATTTCCGGAATTACATTTTCCAGATCAAGTGAAAAATTGTGTAAGATTTTGTCAAAATGTCAAAAATAGTGCAAAATTTTGTTAACAATTTCATAAAAAGCAAAATAAAGAATTCTGTGCCAACTTCCATGCACCTACATAGACATTTCATGCAAGTCATTCAACACAATTAACGAGGCCCGATCTAGTTGAATTGTGCATAAGTTTTAACGCAGCGTCAACTCAGGCACGTCACAGTACCCTTGACTGCCGTCACAATTGAACACAATAACGTCACAATTAAAATGACGTCAAATTGCGCTAAAATGTTTCGCTGATCTTGCATACTTGGTAACTCTATAGACTGTACATGTTGAAAGTTGGTATTTCTATTATCTACATGTTTTTTTTTTATTTTTAAAGTGATAAACAACTTTGGAACATGATTTATTTTGAGGTATCAATTTCTTGGTACATATTCATTAATTTTACCTTATTTTATTTCAATTTGTTAGTTAAAGAAAACAAACATTGCAAACCATTGCAAACCAAAAGTAAACAATTTTAGTCTTTCTCCTTGAACATGTGGAAGTCTTAATACACACACACCCTTTTTTTATTGAGGACTTAAATATGCATGAATTAGCTTGATTAAAGAAAAATCAGTCTATGAATCATTTCAATGCAACCCCCGACATATATTTTATTTTTCTATATATTACATGATATAAGTCATTTGTCGCCTTTACCCCCCCCCCCCCCTTTTTTTTCCACGTATAATAACGTCGCGTTTAAAAAAAAAAAAGAAAGACGAAGAGAAAATTATTTCAAAATGTAAGAATTATTTATTTTTTAGAAAGTAATACAGTATTGTAATCGTTTGTTGATGTTATGTACACCCATGGCTACTTATTTCATGTCTAGTTGGATAAAATAAGTGCTAATTTTGTGTTTTGATATGCCCCCTTTTCACTGCAATAAAGGCTACCTTCAATTTTCTTTTCATTTTTTATAAGAAGAATGAAAATTGCATAATATATGTGAAAAACAAAATATTTCATCATATATTTTTTTTTAATTTTCAATTTTTTTGTTTATTAGAGGGTTTTACTATGTAATTGTGTATAAAAACACAAAAAATGGTCCATATCTTGACAGTGCCCCCATTTGACTACAATAAAGGCAAGGTAATAAAATTTCATTCTAATTTTTCTTAGCATAATACATACAAAAATATTTCCAAAAATTAAAATTTTTTATCATTCCGTTTTCGTAATTTTCAACTAGATCGGGCCTCGTTAAATATTTACTTATGTAATTTTTTTTTACGCAAAATACATTATCAATAATTTATTTTAAAAAAATATTTTATACTGAAACGCAAAAGAAACGCAACACTCTACTTTAGGGGGAAATAATTATGTAAAGAATTTTGTATCTTTAAATTATGGATATCTTCATACCATAACCGGAAGTCAAGTTTGAGTCTGCTTAACAGAAATCAAAAATTGCATGTTTAACATAACATTTGGCAATATTATGGAGTTTTAAGGGTTTGTACTGTTCATCTTAAGTAATGCAGCAATATTTCAAAAAATAAAATCTCCTTTCGATTCCCGTAACGATGCTAAGGCTTCTTGAAAATGGCTAAAGTACGCATTCTCATTGCTCTAGCTGGAAAATCTCAAAGTAAAGGTGATGGAGAGTTGATGATGCGAAAATACACTACATTACTCCTCAATGGGGTCTTACGTATCGTATGCATAAATGCTAAGTTAGAGAAAATTCTACCTAATTATCTGAAAAACAGGCATTTAAAAATGGCAAAGAATAATTCCTTCGCTTAGATATCGATATTGATGAACCTACTGTATCGTAGAAATTAAGCTGCAATTGTTGTTTAGGGCAGTCTTGCACGTTGTAATTGAATGGCTGGGAGGGGGTGTCTTAACAGTCATATGTTGCTTTGTAAAGTTGAAAGATAAACATTTAACACTTTTATCAGAGTCGGGTTACATGAAACATACTTTTTTAGAATGTTGCCCTTGAATTTATTTATATATTGTAATTTATTTAACTCGTATAGCTACAAACATACTAGTATGATGTGCATATTAATAAAATTTTCCAATTTCAAAATGTACTTAAATGGGTATTTACTTGGGACCTGTTCAATTTAATCCATCTCCGCTCCCTTAGTAACTTCATATGATGATGTAATGTATAATTTTCCGATGCACATTGTAATTACAAAGTAAAATATAAATTTAAGAGTAAATGTAAATCTTAACATGATTTACTTTCATTTTTACAACCAACTAATATTCTATTCGTAGGACATATATTAAAAGATTTTCCTTAAACTTAAACATTTTCAGAGCTAGAGTTGAAGCTCGCAGACCTTTATCCAGAAGAATACAGGAAAAGATTTCGTAAGGAACATAAACTGTGTTCAGACCGCTATCATCCCCTCCCTTCCTACAGACACCACACTGTCGGGAGACGTCGGAACAATGTACTAGAGTTCAACAAGACGTGTGTGGTTTTGTTTGCTGTTTTGCTTGCGATTATCTTCTGTATTACGCCTTTGATATCCCTGGGGTTTGTCACGGTTAAATTATTGGCGTTTTTTCTAGATTCCTTGTTTAGTTTTTTGGACTCTGCTCTCACTGTTATAACTGTGCATGATATTTTACAGCTGTTTTGAAAATAAATTTGATATTGAACTGTTTTGATATATGCATGTATATAAATTGTACCAAGTGAGTAAATTGTTAACTTTTAATCCTTGGTAAGGTTTCTGTTATTTGTGATAAAATTTGTTAATTCTAATTTTGTTATTTAATTCAAATTAAAGAATTTTATTATTTTTTGTGTTGAATTATTTTAGTTTTTAATTTATGCTCATGATGTGGAAGACAAAGAGAATATTGTTCTCTCTCTCTCTCTCTCAATTGGAAAGCTTTACTTAAGTTAAATATACATGTTAAAATGTTCTTGGGAGCCAAAAAAGGCATACAAAGAAAAGCATAAAGTTTATTCACACAATAGACTTAGGACAATTTATCAAAAATGTGTATAAAAATAAATACAGTCAAAATAAATATCTACAAAGCTCAAATTACATCCCAGAATCTAACATAAAACCATTGTTTGTATAAGGAGGGTAGGAAATGTTAGTGTAAGTATCGTCGTCTTTTTCTACTCTCTTCTTTTTCCTAGAGATAAAAATAAAAGTAACATTATTCACCACATTGTATGGATGATCAACCTTAAAGGAAGAATGGTCGATAACATATTAAGAACACCACCCACTTTGTAAGCTAATGTAAGCTTGTACTTTGCTAGATTTAATTAATGGTTCAACATCTTGCTATAATTAATTCAGTCACACAAAGACAGAGATTCAAGTTCCTTTATTTCCTCAAGATGTGCGGCAGAGTTTGTTACCTGTTCAATGTTTAATATTAAATTGTGGGGAAATTGTTCAATAAGAAATCACGTTCACTGTAAATAATTTTTAATATGATTAAGCACTATGAATGAAATATGATTGTCTTTATTTCCTTGTAAATGACACTGCAGTTTTATTGACGTGTTTTCACAATCTCTATTCATGTTTTACATTTTCAAAACAAAGAGCGATTTGAAGACTAAAGTCATTTAGGCCGTAATTAAAATGTGGGTTATGCTTAATCTAAAAAATAGATATCTGATTTGTATTTAATGTTAATTGTTAATGTGTCGATAGCTGACTAATTCGAGTAGTATTTTGAATGGGAATAATTTTTTTTATTTTTGGTTGGGGAGGGGTTCTTTAGGTCCATTAACAGTAAACCATTCACATCTCAATCTTTAAAAAAGTAACATGTCACCTACTGCTAATATTAAAATTAACAATTTCTTTGTACTGACCCTTTCAGCCTTCTCTTCTGTAACCAGAAGATTACCCCTTACCTGCAGCAGAAAAAATACGTGATGATAACGATGATAGCCACACCAACTATAGCTGCTATTACTGCCCCCGCAATCATTCCCATACTGGGTATGGCTGTACTCTTACTGGACTCTAAAATAAAAAAAAAACGTTTTATTATTTATAAAGAATACATAAGTATGTAAGCAATGAGAATCACAGAATTTTCAAAAATCTCAATTTTATATGTTTCCAGTTCAATTTAATTTTTAATTTTTTTACCACTACAAGTGATTCCTTTCCAGCCCGGCACACAGCCTGTTACACAATGTCCCTGGGTCCGTTCACACGTGCCATCTATACAGTTTGGGGGACACCTCTTCTGGCACTGGTCACCGTACCACCCATCCTCACAACCCTGAAGACACGCCCCAGTGACGTTGTTACATGAAATAGAGTTCACATTCCTGTTACAATATTTACTGCAAACAACCATGCACTGTCCTGTTTGCTGGTCACAAGTGTCACATTTGGCGGGGCATCTTTGCTTACAGTTTTTGCCCCACATTCCTGCAATGCAGGAACTACATTGTTTTGTCGCTTGATTGCATGTCAGACAAGACCCTAAGCAATCTGTGGTTGGTATTTTTGTACCATCCATTGGAGTATTGCAGAGTAAGCCTGTCCAGCCCTCCACACAACCCTCTAAACACTGAGCAGTTGTTCCTTCACAGGCGCCATTCTTGCACGTGCTGCTGCACTTCTGACACAAACCATATCTAGTGTAATAACCATCCTTACATTTTGTACAAAGAGGCTCACTAGGGTTTGACACTGGTTCACATGAAATGCAGTTTTCTCCACAAGAGCGATCACAACCAGCATTGATAAGGTCGTATCCAGTATCGCATTTCAAGCAAGCATCTGAATTGCAAAAAGCACAATTTTTTGCACATTTTTGGTTACATCGTTTTCCAAACCAACCATCTACACATCCAGATAAACACACTTCATCTGCATCGCATGACCTGTCTGCACAATTTGCACACGATGCCTTGCAGTAGTTGTTGACTAACTGAAATCCAGGTGAGCATTTAGTACACTTTTCAGCAGAGTCACAAACTTGGCAACCTTTCATGCACGATCCAGTACATTGCGGACCAAAATGGCCGTCTTTGCAACCTAAGTGACAGTTTCTTTGTATGTCACAGTCTTCTTCAAGACAGAAATCACACCCAGCAATACACTTGTTTCCAGATAATTGATAACCACTTCGGCATTTATCACATTTTTGACCATCAGCACACGATATACAACCTTTCACACATTCTTCAATGCATTTTTTACCATACCAACCTTCATTACAACCATGATCGCAAACCCCATCGCTTGAACACAGCTGGTCTTTGCAATTTTCACAGGTAGATATACATCTCTTCCCTTCCCATTTAAACCCTCTTAAACAAGAGACACACGAATCTTTAGAATTACACTTTGAGCACTCAATAGGACATGGATGATCACATTTCTTTCCATACCATCCGTCAACACAGCCTAATTCACATTCACCTTTTTCGCTACATCTACTGTGAACACATCTGCTACATGAACTATAACATTTTCCATTTAACAAGGCGGCTTGATTATAACACTCCTCACAAATTTCAAAAGAACTACACTTTGAACATCCTTCCATACACATTTCGTTACACTTCGTTCCAAACCATCCCTCCTCGCAACCGTGTAAACATTTTCCAGATACCTCGCACTCATTCTTAATGCAGTTGTCACAGGTCTTTGAACAGTCCTCCGAGAATCGCCCTGTAACACACTCTAGACAAGATCCTGTGTCTCTAGAACATTTTGTACAGTTTGTTGCACAAGTCTGCGAACAAGATTTACCATAGTAACCATATTTGCATGACTGACACGTGTTTGCAGTATTATCGCACTCTGCACAGTGTTCAGCATGACAGGTAGAGTCGCATCGATCTCCAAACCATCCCTCCTCACAACCATCCGTACACGAACCTGTAGTCGTGTGACATTTTTCTTTCCCTCCTTTGCAGTTCTCACTACAAGGATAACAATAACCATCTTTTTCCAGGAAATATCCACTATCGCATCCCACACACACTTTTCCATACCCAAAGAAGGGCTCACACCAGGTACAGTGTTCTAGATCGCAAAAAGTATCGCATCCTTGATCCTTCGGATAATAGTTAGGTTCACAACCATTAATGCACGTTCCATCTCTAGAACAAAACTGATTTCCACCAGCACAATGTTTGCATGGACAACAGGCACCTTGTGATAAATACCAACCGGAGTTGGCTTCACACTCATCACAATAACTTCCCGCCCATGTCAGCATTGGTTTGGTACATTTGGACATTGTACATGAACAGTTTTTCTGAGGTTGGCTGTATCCTGCAGCACATTCACTACAAACAATTTCGTTAGATATCATATCCTGGGAACAAGAAGAACAAATTTCAGGACATTTGATATCACACCTACTTCCGGCTAATCCAGGAATACACACCATGCATTCATCTTTAGATGTACATTTTGAACAGTTCTGAATGCACTTTTGATCACATTTTCCTCCAAACCATCCATCCTGACAGCCATACTCACAATACCCGGTATCCTTTTCACAAGTTAGACCTATACAGTTCCCACACCGTTCCTGACATTTATCTCCGTGGTATCCTTCTACACACTCCAAACACTCGCCTGTAGACACGTGGCAAAAGTCGCAGTTGGTAGGACACGTGTAATCACATTGACTTCCCCAGAGATTCGGTTGACACATCAAACATTCGCCATCGGTTTGGTTACAGACCATGCAGTTCTGAGAGCATTGTTTTTCACACGAGTCCCCATAGAACCCATCGTTACACCCAAACTGGCAGGTTCCCGTGGCTCGGTCACACAACCCACGGCGACAATGGCCACACTGACTAGTACATCCATCTCCAAAATACCCCTGAGCACAGTGAATACATTGACCATTTTCTATGCTACACACGTGACAGTTGTATTCGCATTCATTCTGACACTGTGGTCCCCAGTAGTTTGGTTGGCATGATGTACATGCTCCAGAGTCTTTGTGACATGAAAAACAGTGAATGCATTCAAAATTGCAATTTTCACCAAACCATCCATCAATGCATGTCAAACATCGACCATTTGACTTTTCACACGTTGAGCATGTATTCGGGCATGTGTTCTCACACTTTTCACCGTAGAAACCCGTCAGACATCTCTCACAAACGCCTGTCGTGTTGTCGCATGTTTTGGGTTCGCAGTACAGGCATGTGGCATGAACTGTTGGGATAAAGAATATATATAATGTAGTACACATTTAAATTGCTAAAATGGGTTGATCAAATACGTATTACAGAAACCTGTATCCTCGTTTATCTATTCCGACTTTATTTATTTTTCAACTCTCTGTAAAATAACAAGATTATAATATATTTCAGTTTTCTATACTATATAGACCATCCCTGATAGGTAGAGAATTCCTATAGATTCTTATTGAAGTGTTTCTTGTCATAGGAAGTTTGTGTGCATTCTATTCTCATTAACCTTAAATCAGTGTTGACAAGATGCATGATTCACAATTGGTCAGAATTTTACCTGGCAATAAATTATCTATTTTCAGGTGACTGTTTTAGATCTTAGTATGAATGGGCGTTACAGGTGCACGATTATCATTTAATTTATGAGACATAATGAATAGTTTTCAATTAATCACGATAAAAGTATTGTCAAAAATCACAAAAAGGATCCGTGTTATTTCAACATACATCATGTCATTAAGACACAATAATTTAATTTAATGACACGCCCACTTAACATTTTATCGATTATAGAATTTGAATTTTCATAAGAATAAATAATTATTTACATACAATAGTTCCGACATCCCTACGGCAGCTGAATAAAAGTCTAGATGTAATGTACCAAAAGTTCTATTTTCAAACTCCAGAAGACTGATTGATAAACACTAATAAAATGTTATGTAAATCTTTAAAACTACAACTTTCTTAAAGCAGTTATGAACATTCATCTTTCATATATAATTACCACTGTTATGTAATTTTTACAGACTGGACTCTTCGTGATTTATGAAGATTTCAGTCGATTGTAACTCAAGTATTTTTTATTGTTTAATAAGAAATAGCCGTCTTTCTATGGATAAAAATTGCTCTAAACTTTCACCAAGAATTTCTCTATTTATTTGTTTCACTGTTATGTGTAAAAGTGTGAAATGGATGGGCATGATAAAAGCTTGCTGATTGTTGTATGGTGTGTTTAAAGTTTACTTACTGAAGTTTCCGCTTCTGTCTTTTATAGAAAATCCTTCACTTACAGGAAAACACAAAATGATCCCAAAAGTCACCAGAACCACACACTGGACACAATCCATCGTTGTCGACCTTATTTTTTTTTTTCTCTTCTATATAGAAAAATAATTACTGATGCGTATTAATTGTCCCTCGATTGAATCAAGAAGAAACACTGCTTGCATACATAATTAATTCCGATGTCAGATGGTTAAGTTTCGCTCAATCTCTGGATAATTCCTTTTGAAATATCGCATTTTTCCTAAATTAATTTCTTTGTTTGTATTCTTCACATTTTCGATGAAAATAAATTTGTCTCTTTTTTAAAAAATAAACATATGTTTAATTAGCTCTAAAGGTCTTCTTTACATGAAAATCTCGACTGCGCAATGAGAAGATAAATCATCGTTAAGTTTTTCCGTCAAAGGTAAGGACTTGAAATTTGCATACCTATGGTATGATTGGGCAATGTCTGTGCACACTTTAATAAACTTACGGATCGCTGAAGCCCAACTTTGATTAACTTTATAAGATGGTGTTATGATTAATTTTAACAAATTTTTAATTATAAAGACATAATTAGAAGTTGTTTGTAAATTTGATTTTTTGCGGACTTTGTATATCATACGATTTGCATTGTAAAAGGCCAATGTTGACATATTCATTACCTTTGTAAATAATCTTTTTTTTTTAAGGTTAAGGAAACGAAGAAGGAAATGTTGACTAATGACCATTTCCCTAGTTCCCTCTTTATTTCAATTTTTCAGGTACATTTATTTTAAGATTGTACTGAAAAACGTAATCACTTTACATACTAAATGTTGTTTTGTTCCATCTGTTTCTTTTCTCCTTTTTTTTTGTATATGAAATCATATATTAATGGCTTATACCATGCAAAGCAAGTTTTCAGTTCGAGGCTACACGTATATAGAATTGATAACTAAAGAACATTTTAAGAAATTATATTCGGTTTTATATGTAATGTTGTACTTGATGGAGGTAACGGCAAAATTTTACAATATGACAATGACAATTTGTTTTGACTGCAATCCTGTAAATTCGAAATTTACTGCAAGACATCTATTTCAATATTGCTAGCATGCAAGTTTGACAGTAAATCAGTGAAGGAACTGTATTAAGTAACATCACTTGTGTTCATTCAACCATATGCACACATTTTTTATAAATTCATCTTTTATACATGTACACATTTTGATGAGTTAGGTCTTGAATAGAAAAATCATTGCTTGATTTCCTGAAGCATCTTTATATGGACGTAGTGATATATCATATGTGGTCTTTAAGTAATTAAAAATAATTACAAGCGAATCCGTATTTCTTGCATTTGCAATAATGACATTTACTTTTCTCTTAAGGTTCGTTATATATATTTTTATTCAATCCTAGATCCCAAATGACATGTACATATTAATGATGCTTTGCAAACAACATGTTAAGAAGTAAACGTGAGAGGCATTTTTATGCAATCACTTGATGGGCAACTGTACATGCATGTCTATTAAAGAAAACTTTTTTGCATTAAAAAAATTTTGATGAAGACACCTCATTAATCATTTTGGAGATTTATCAAAAATATCGATATATATATCACTATATTGTTGAACATCTGATCTATGCAGCCCAACACTAAAAGCAGAACCCCTGATCCAGGAGCCTGGAATTTCACAATTTCGGAAATAGCACCCTTGCTCATCATATTCATGCACTCAGTTTATCTGATAGCTTCACAAAAGCAGAGGACATATTTTCACAGAATTTATGCATTTTACAAAATAATTTGTAGAGCCTTATCCTAAAATTACATAACATTCATCATAACCATGCTTTATTTTTCTTTATCATCCAGAAAAAGAAATGAGCAGAGAATTTAAGATTTACAAAGATATGAATAAGCCGTAAAGATTCACAATTTTGAAAGAGGTTCCTTTGCACTTAGTTTATCTACAAAATATACAGAAGATTTTCAAAAAAATTATTATTTTACTTTATGTTCATTACAGCTGTTCATCGGGCCCTGGGGGGGGGGGGGGCTAACTTGGAATTTATAATGTTATGTTTCACTTCATTTAAAGATGTTTCTATGCCAAATTGGCTGAGATTGGAAGAAGTAGAAAATGTTTGTAAACAACGCATTACAATGGAGAAAAATAGATTCCAATACCTCCCCTGTTTTATTCAGGTAATTCTAAAGATAAAGAACACTTGATGGTTTAAATATTTTGACTAATTTGTTTGAATATCGGACCATAATTTTTCTAGATATACAAAAGCAGAAATAACTAATTATTATATCATTATAGAGTTCATTTAAAGGTATTTTTTTAATTATTACAAATTCTCCGTTATCTGGAATATCATTAAAAGTGAATTCCAAATTTAGTCTATACAAAGTCAAACTTTCCAACGGCTTGTCATTTTCGAAAGTTCAAAATCACAAAAAGTCTTCTCCGAAAGAAAATACAATCAAAACAAAACAAATTTTCACGAGTGATGAAAACCTCTTTCATCTTCATTATAATTGAAACTCCACGTTAATTGATTATATATGAACGCATCAATTGTTATAGATTTGAAATGTACGTTTTGAAAAAAAAAACACTCTTAGTAAATGAATTTTAATAAAGAAGGTTTTTTTGATTCACAGCGTCGTTAAAAATGAAGACGCTACTAGTTCATGTTTACAGATTGATTGCTTGTTATTTACGTTTTTTTCGAGCACTAGAATATAAAAAGAGGCTTTATACTCTAATATATATATATTATATTTATATACTTTGAATATTTTATGATTGATTTATATAGATACTAACGACAAAACTCGGATCAGAAGTGTGTTTTAAAAATTAGGAGACAATGTCATTGTACAGTGTTGCTACATTAAATTTGATGGTCTTTTTACACATGTTACAGCTTTATTTTAAAACTCCTTAATTACCCTTCTTACGTTACAGTGAACCTTTCAACAGAATTTCAAAGCTTGGCAATTTTTTGGTAAGTTTCAATTAAAAAAATGAGCCATTTGATCTAGAAAATACGGAAGCCCATAAAGAACCTATAAAAATATTTTTGAATTTGATATAACGAATTACCGAATTTGTTATAACGAATTTAATTCATTATAACAATTTCTTTGAATTTGTTATAACGATTTTAATCTAGTATAACAAATTTGTTGAATTCATTATAACGAATTCTTTAATTTGTTTTAACGAACTAAATTCGTTAAAACGAATTCAAAAATTTGTTATAACAAATTAAATTCGTTTAAACAAATTCTAAAGTTTGTTAAAACAAATAAAATTCGTTTAAACAAATTCCAAAGTTTGTTATGACAATAAATCTGTTATAACAAATTAAATTCGTTTTAACGAATTCAATTAATCTGTTTTAACAAATTAAATTCGTTATAACGAATTCTAAAAATCTGTTATAACAAATTAAATTCATTATAACGAATTCTAAAAATCGTTATAACGAATTCAAAAATATTTTTTGATAGGTCCTAAATGGGCTTCCGTAACGAATTAAGTTCGTTTAACCAAATTCAATAATCAGGGCCTATTGAAAAATACATGAATTCGATATAACGATTTGTCGAATTCGTTTGAACGAATTTAATTTGTTATATCAAATTATGGAATTCGTGTTAACGAATTCAATTCGTTTTAACAAGTTTTAGAATCTGCTAAAACGAGTTTAATTCGTATTAATAAATTTTTGAATTCGTTATAACGAAATCAACAAATTTGTTATAAGGGATTACATTTATTATAACGAATTCGAAGAAATTGTTATAACGAATTGGATTCGTTCTAAATGGGCTTCCGTAAGAAAAGACAATGTCAAATTAATTAAAACAGGCTTTGTGTTTTTGAGTTTTTAAATATTACTTTTAGAATTTTTAAGAGAAAAAGAGACAGGGTGATTACGTGTAAAGGTCAAATAACCTTTAAAATATGTTTTGTCTGTAAAAGAAAGTCATGTTTCTACCATCGTTGGCATTCTTAACTTTGAGTAGAGTGAGATTTTTTTTCTTTCCTTCCTGCCAAAGGTAAATCCCAAAAAGCATTGCTGATTTAATTTTATTAATGTAGTAAACTAAATGAAGCCCACTGTGTAGTGCAAAAAAAAGTTTTTAAAAACTATATAAACGTATATACCAGGAAAATATATTGCCGATAGTCACTTGACTGACTCTTTACATACATTGTACATTTTTTTTTGCAAACAGAAACAACCTCAATTTTTTTTTGCCATTCATGCATGAAATACGACTTTCGTCTTTTCCCGTATGCAAAACGTGTTTTCAGCCCTACCTCAAAATAAAATAGGTGAGGAGAAGAATATTATTTTTAATTCAGTTTAATTATCTTGTGTATGAAACATCTAGAAATTAAGAACATTTTTAAAACTATTGTTTACTTTTTTGTATTATTTTGTGAATCAATACCCTAGGATTGATAATGCATTAAACAGTTTCGAGCAAAGTTACCCCAAAATGCTAACTACTAAAATTAATTTATCTTTAACAATTTTTGATGAATGAAAATGTTTTCATAAATTAAAAGACAAATACAAGAAGCCATTGGCACAACAGATGGTGACAGATAACAATCGGTTGTCTCAATCTGCGTAGAGTGTTAAAGATCAACATATTTTATTCTATAAGACTAAATAAGTAAGTAGTATAAATGATTGTACTAACAAGAGAAAATTGCATTCTCTTATTTTTTAAAATAAATTGTTTCCAGCAAAGGCTTTCTTGTTATCATGCACTTTCCTTTTTCATTTCCAATGCACCTGTAGCGACATCTTTTCCCTAGCCAGCCGTCCAAACAGCCGTTTAAGCACTCACCGGTAATGCTATCACAAGGTGACAACTCATTGCCCGTTTGTTTGCAATATCTACTACATAAAACAACACACTTGCCAGTCTTTATGTCACAGGTTCTGCAATTTTCGGGGCATATTTTGTTGCATCGTGATCCCCAAGACCCTGCATGACAGTTAGCACATTCCCCAGTCATAGCGTCGCAGGTAAAGCAATTTCCTCTACAAAGCTTGACTCTTGGGTTGAATTTCTTCTCACTCTTCTTAACATTACACCATCCTTTTGTCCAACCGGGCTTGCATCCTTTAATACATGTACCAGTAATTTCGTCACAAACATCTCCTAAACAGTTAGAACTACACGGCCTGCATTTTCCTTTATAAGTATGATATCCGGTTTTACATTTTTTGCATTTCGCGGCGGAGTCTGTCGATTTTTCACAGACATCACAATTTTGAATGTCGCAAACAGGTAGAGGGCAGTGCTTATCGGGACAGAGAGAGTCACATTTTTCTCCATACCCTCCTTTCTCGCAACCATCAAGACAAACCCCTGTCTTCTGGTCACAGCGGAATGAACCTCCCTTACAATAGGAGCTGCAGGGTTCGCATCCATCATGCTTTAAGAAGTGCCCTTGGTCACAACCCTTACATATTTTGCCATGTCCATAAAATGATTCACACCAGGTACAGTGAGGAATGTCGCAATACTGGTCACAACCTTCAGTTTCTGGGAAGTATTTCGGTTCACACCCTTTCTTACAAATGCCACCCGCATCGCAAAATTGGTTTCCACCTGCGCAGCGATGACATGGACAGCATGTTCCTTCTCTAAGATACCAACCTGTAGCACACTTTCCACAAGTGAATCCCCCAACACTACTTTCTTTTAATTGTATGCATTTTGTACTCGTACAAGAACAGTTCTTTTCTGGTATTTTGAACTCTCCGCTACATTCCATACACTTGATATCGCCTGAGAACATATCGGTCACACACGTTGGACATCGTTCTGGACATTTAATATCACATTGTTCACCGGCTAATCCCTTCTCACAAAGCATACATTTATCTTCAGCAGCACAGCGTCGACAATTCTTCATACATTTCTTATCGCACTTGGCACCGAACCATCCATCTAGACATGAGCCTTGGCAATATCCTGTATCTTTCTCACAAAAGCCATCCAAACAATTGTTGCAGTCATTTGTGCATTTTTTACCATGAAAACCTGGGTTACACTCTAGACAGTCTCCAGTCGTAATATTACAATAATCACAATTGGTTGGGCATTTGGTGTCGCAGTACTCCCCCCAAAGTGGAGGTTCACACATCAAACATGACCCGTCAGCTTGGTTACATACACGGCAGTTGTTAGAGCATTCCTTCTCACATTTTTCCCCGTGACGCCCGTCATTGCAGCCATATAAGCATTTTCCATTTTCTCGATCGCACAAGCCTTGTCTGCATATACTGCAATTCAGATTACACCGTTCGCCATAAAACCCATTTGCGCAAACTTGGCATGTCCCCGTCAGGACCTCACACCTCTGGCAACCATCCTCACATAGATTTTGACAATTTTTTCCCCATTTATTTGACAAACAGGAAGCACATGCTCCAGTGACTTTATTACATGTATCACACTGTTGGCATTCCTGCTCACATTTTTCACCGAACCATCCATTGACACAAGACTTGCATTTGCCGTCTGTTTTGTCACAGGACAAACATGTGTTTGGACAAGTTTCTTTACAATTCTTCCCGAAGAAGCCATCTAAGCACTGGCCACAGGTGCCCGTCACGTTATCACAGGTTCCCGGCGTGCAGTAAATACACCGGACATCCCCTACACAGGAAAGAAGTTCAGGCAAATTATATTACGATAATTTCTCAAGACGTTATAAAATATAAACATGACATAATGAACTATCTAGGTACTAAAATTGGGACAGTTAATCATTTAACTTCAGTGTGATATGGGCAAATTCTGTGTGTCCTTGATTTTAAAATAATCCAGTGGGAACAAAGTAAAGAACCACCTTACTTAGACTGTTTGATTTTATTAAATAGAACTAGGACAGGAAATAACACTGTCTCATATATTTCAGAATTATATGATTAATGAATGATTACATTTATATTTTTTTCAGTCTTGATGTTAAGATGTATATCGTGAAAAAGATATGATAATGAGATTAAAAATAAATTTATGGATCATTACACAGGTGTAATAATTTGACAATTTAATCAAACATGGTAGAAACAAAAAATGACTACATTCTTATGAATATTTTGAACACAATTTCAAAAATATGAAATAGAATGTACTTAATTGAATGTTCAAAAAAAAAAAGAATAACCTGTAATGTTAAAATAATTCGGTAACACATTATCAACTTCAAGTACACCCATAACTATGTATATACTTGTATAATACTAAGTATAATAGATTCGTTTCCTGCTGAACATCAAAAAATAGATTTTGCCTAAATGTATTACCAGTAAACCAGACATTGTCAGAAATTGGTGAAATGCTCTTGAATTATACGTGTTACATTGGGGTATTAAAGTACCTCTTTGAAGAAATAATTTGACTTTGCCTGTGAAAATTGTCAAAGAATAAGACAAGAAAAAATGAGATTGATTATCTGCAGGGATTAAAAAAACATTAACAATTAAATAAAAAAAAGAATTACATGTAGTATTATTATTACAACTTTTATTTTAATATTATTTTTTTAACCAGTAATATACATTTTTATATTTTTTTTATTTATAAACAAAAAAGCACATAAAAAGAGATATATATGTTTTGCCATTTGTTCGTTTCTTACCGTCCATTCCGTGGTGTGATGAATGTCTTGTACCGAACTGCCCATTCGTCATGCTAATCAGGCCGGCCAGGATGACAGTTACTGTACCTAGTAGTTTTTGTCCTGTCATGTTCCCCGGCTTCACTGTTGTATGTCTCTTTCTTATCTATACTATTTTGATTTAAAAACATTGAAATATTTTCGCGCATACATAATTAAGCAGTGACGGAAAATGTGGTTATCAATTGTATTATATGAGAACGCATGACAGGCACCTTTAGATATAAATCTGTAATTACCAGACAATTACTCCTAACACTTTAATGCGAATAAGTTATAAGCATAATAGCAGAATCCAATTTGATTCTCTGGCAGAGGTCTGCATATTTCAACCTGAATAGTTTCCTTCTGATTTAAGACAATTGATTTTCTCTTTAAATACCTTTCAAAATTACAAAATCAAAATCAAAAAAAGAGTTGCTTACCATCCAATACAGGTGAGTTCATTAAGTATTACATGTACAGCTGTAGCTTAGTCTAAGGCACAAAAGAATATAATGTAAAAGGTCAACGGTAACCAAAGGTAACATCGATTTATCAACATTTATCATCGCAATTGTTTAAAGGAGAGACAGGACACCTGTCACATGACACAATTGACTACGTCATAATCCTTACTAATATAGATCATAAAATGTTATTTAATTCACAAAAAAGTTATGGTTTTATGTGCAAAGTTTTGTGATTTATTATCTTATATGAAAATATTTCAGTTTAAACTTTCATATCAATATTTATCTTATATTTACATTTATTATTGATCTACTCTCCTGTTTCCTCTACGCTTCTTGTCTTAGAGTCAGTGACGTCATATATGTATGTGTTGGTGTAGCGAGAGATATCAGTCACGTTTATGTTAAAACGAAACATCTCTGTTGGACTTTTTTATTTAGGTATCAGATGAAAAAAGGAAACACATAATAATTCTTTCTTCCATGTTACTATAGCATTCTAATGGTAATCTAACAACCAAGCTATATGATAAACGTGATGACTTTAAGTTTTCTATCGTCAACTTCCCTTGCTTATGCAGCAGTATACCTTCATCACCTGCATACGGAGTATATATATCTCAGTTGATTCGATACGCAAGAGCGTGCTCTACGTATGAACAATTTCTTAAACGCGGTAAATTATTGACAAGCATTGATGAAACAAGAATATCAACATGTCTCGTTTAAAGTCATCATTTCGTAAATTCTATGGTCGATACAATGACCTTGTCAGCAACACGATTTATCATTGAGTCATATGCTGACTGACGTTTTTCATACCAATTGTTAGTCCATTATTTATACACTGAATTGACGATTTAATTTTTTTCCGTTATTTCCTGATCATGACAACGAGCACACGGCGGGTGTGACCGGTCGGCAAATGCTCACTCCTCCATGGCACCTGATCCCACCTCTGATGTTTCAGAGGTCCGTGTTTGCTCTGCTCTTATTTTGTATATTGTTTAATGGACGTTGAGATTGAATACTGTTCGTTATCTCCATATCCTTATTCTAACAAGCAAGAAAGCATTATTATTAACCATCTGTGATATTGGTATTTTGGCAAATAGGTGTGTCTTGAAGGTCAATACATGTTCACATGTAGTGCATGCAATGACTTTGCCAATTCATGTGCTGTCTTTTTTAAAGTTATTATTTCACAATCAAGTACTTTTTAAAATTGCATTTAGAGGTTTTGTCTTTGCCAAACATTATTTAAAGGAATGTCCTGTAGATATGAAATGTGTCGAGTTATGACAGGTAGACATATGACCATTGAATTTTCATTGATGGAGGCAGGCCACACAGAGTTCATCACTGGCACTTTGGGCTCTTGTCGTGTTGGCAAATACAGATAGTTTGTGTTAGGTTATGAAGAATGCTGTTATCATTTAATATTGAAAATTTTCAGATGTTGTTCAAAACATATAACTGAATGGGAAATTCAAAACTGTAATTAAATGCCATCATCTATGCAAGTATGACCATGCTCCTTCAATACCTTTTGCTACTTTTTGAATCAAACTGTGTAGATATATATATATATTTAAAAAACAATGTATGTTGCTTGATCTATCATCTTTTGCAGCATGTCGCATGAACATCCTAGAGTAGTCCATCTACGACAGTATGCTAGAGATGAAGAAATAACTGATCACATACTGAAACAAAAAGATTTCAGGTTTCCAAACATGGATGCTTCTCTCCCAACTGTCATTAAACCATGTGGCCTTGACGCAGTGACAGTGATATTTATACGATGAGGTAGCTCCATACTGTGCCAGTCATGACTCATGAGGCATATCCCCATCCATGAGTATCGTAACCATCAGCCATAAAAGTTGAACAGAAAGTGAAATTCAGAAAGAGAAAATGTGCATATTGACATTATAATTGTAACAAATCTGGCAACATACAAACTCGTCCGATGAAAGGTCATCCCAAAACTTTGTAATTTATCTGCTGTCATGGATGTTAAGAGTTTGATTTTATCCAGTTCTTAAAAATCATATTCTGTTGTTTTGATTTGATCAAGCAGTTTGTGTTTTAGAATGAAATAGCGTGCATTTTTGATTGCGTTACTTTCAGTGCTTTAACGTCACTTCAAATTCAAAGAAATCACTAATTTTAGATAGAACAACCAAGTAAAGTCCAATTTTCTTGACAATGGATGGGGATAGCAAAGAAAAAATCCAGATGGTTGTTACTGTCGGCTATCTCTACCAGATAATATAAAAATCTCATTTTCTCCCTCATTCGGTTCAAAAATCTCATGGCTTGTCACATATTTGGTTTGTATTTATATCTTATATATCGTGCAAAGGCTTTCTCGTGACGTCATAATTGCTTTCCCGTAGTAGGAAATGTAAACAAACGTCGTGATTTTAAAAGCTTACGAACTGTTTAATAATGGCGACATTGGACTAAGCTTTACCTTTCGATATTTCTATAGTTTAAGGAACAGGACACTGAACTGAAAAAAAATCCTGTCAATGACTTTTCTTTTTTACAAATATCGCTTCGTATCGTGTTTAAATATTTTTTTAATGCGCATTGAGTAAACATTATTCAAGTTTTTTTTTTCATTCCACATTCATTCTGCATATAGCTGAGATAAATAACGCATTTTTTAAAAACAATTTTCACGACAAAGACATAATTGGGAAATTGTTTCATTATTTTTTTTACATGTAATTTACATCTTAATAGTCTTTATAAGCTGTTGAAATATCGAAAGTCCAATATCACATATATATGTCATCATTGACACGACGTAAGCGTAAATACGGGAAAAAATTATGAAGTCACGCAATAGGCTTTGTGAGATATATAAAATATAAATACAAAAATAAAATTGCTTACATGTAAACAAAAAATATCATTGTGTTTTCGGTTCCATCTAATACCTAAAAAGTTTACTTAGTCTAACAATTGCCTGTTTCTTAAAATTTAAAAATTCATTAACATAAGATCATCAATAATTTTTCATGAAGTATGATTTAAATCTCTCTTAACTTTTTTCCTTCAATTTGTTACATGCTGTACATCTTTTACAATACATAATAATAAATGCATATGACAAATCAATTATAAAACTTAAGCAGTTGGACAGAAATAAAATTTAATGCAACAAGACAATAACAATTCGTCCACTTTCAAACAATTGTAATTTTTGAAACTTCTAAAATAATAATAATTAATAAAGTAATAGTAATAAATATACCATGTTAAACATTCTGCAAGATACATCAGATTCTTACTCCTATTATACCAGCATTAGTAACTTTTAATTTCATCATAGTAAACCCAGCCATTCTAGGTATGATAAAAAGAGATAAATTTAACTTCACATAGAAAATGAAATTATTTAGACACAATAGAATTCATTTCCTTATCACAAACAGCATAAAACTATTGCATGCAACATCATTCTAGATTTATTCATTACTGTCACGTTTGATTGGATTTCACATTAAAAATACTCATTGAAATGCATTTCTATAACATTTGGACACCAAAATACTATCGATTTTTCTTTCACGTATCTTTCCTTAATATGTATGTCACACATCTTTCCTTATTATATATGTCATTATGATCTTTTATTAAGTAAGAAGCCAACAAATTATAAGGATCATAATACACTTTCATCTGATAGAACCCCGGGTCTATAAAAACCCAAGTCACCATTACTGTCCATCAATGGCATTTGCACTTCACTTTCCCGCCAAAGTTCGCAGGTCTCGGAATGAGATCGAGTATTATTATTTTCCAGGTTCTGCCGAAAGTCGTCCTCATAAGATCCAACATTGCACTCGGTGTTCTGTTCAGACACAAACTTTGGCATGCTGTCCCTGAGGCAGTCACTACAATAATCAGAGTATCCATTACATTTCTCATAGGTATTGTCAAGTGAGAAGGAATCACAAACTTGTCCACTACATTTACGACAAGCAACAACATTCACTGTGGGTTTCTTCGAGAAACTTGTCGCTCTTTCCATTGATTCTAGTCGTTTGATCCGATAAGATTCGTCCTGAGACTCCAAAAAGTAAGTGAACTGATCCCCTTTTCCCTGTAAATAATGAACGTATTCAATCTAATGTATCTTTATTCAAAATATGCTTACTGACTTAGTTTTCTTAACTTACTGAGGTTTTCCCATAATCTGCTATTCTATTTATTGCAAGAGAATGTTATGAAACGTAATGAAATCTTAGTCTGATTTGTGTCTGCTTTACCTTCATGCTGACGAATCCTCTTTCTGACAGAGTATATCCTCCTAACTTATCCAAAATCGCCTTAAACTGACTGCTACAATGAATCTTCAAAGCTGTATTAAAGAATAGAATATTATAAAATTAAATGACAGAATAAAAAGCTTAAGAAGCATGATAGTTTAGTATTTTTCTCGGATTCTGGAGTTTTACTTTGTCGAGCTTGTAACTTCCTGATTTCTTAAACAACTCAAAAATTATCATAAGAAATACAGATTAATTCATATTTTCTTGTAATAGTAAAAGAATGTCAGAAACGATAATTGCAGATGCAAGCTTATAGTATTGTCTAATTCTTAAGTTTTCAATCATTTTGAGCGATAGGTGAGCGATAACTTTTTATCCATCTTCAACTCCCTAATAATGAACGGATAAAAGACAAAAAAGAGTTATCAAGGAATGAAAAAGATACTGTTAATCACTTTTTATACGCGACAACTTTATTTTCGCGTAATTTCACGAGACAGCCTGCTCGCGAAATTTTAATTCTCGCGTATAATAGTATTCCTTAGGATTATAAGGAGCAAAAACCACAATTCTTGAAAATTTTGTATCGATAATCAAGAGTCAATCATGAGTCAATGAATATCTCGCGAAAATAAGGTGTCTCAAAAATTTTACTGATCTACAGTAAAACAATAAAGGAATTTTATGTTAGTTACTATTCCAAACATCATTTCTTCTCATTTGCATGTGAAAATGCATATTCTTAAAGAATGCAAGTACTTGTTGGGTTTTTAAAGAAAATAATTAACAATAAAATCGAAAATTAGAAATAATAATTTAAATTTCATGTTCATTTCAGTTAATAATATTTTCTTCATTGCCTGTAATAAAAAAAATTATAATTTATTGATAAGGAACAAGGAATGCATTAGTTGACATTTCTTACGTCAGGATCCTTAAATAAATGACCCTAAATTAATGTCCGTAAACTTAATAGACTATCATACAAAATCAACCGCAATTATAGCTCATTCATTAGACATTCACAGTCACTATAAAGACTATTGCCCATCCTTTTATACATCAATGCTATACGCTTTCTTGCTTTTGAAGGAGAATTTTATAGAAGGTGTTATCAGTGCATACCAAGTAGGATTTCTTTTAAGAGAGAGCCAAATGCATGTATTCTCACTTGCGGCTGTGTAAAATTGCCAAGAAAACGACATTTTCTAGTTTCTTCCAAACAACAATTTCCTCTATATATGCAATCTTGCAGATGCACAAAACATACGCACAAGTTAGCTACATTTAAATTAAATGTTAAAACTGTATATTTGATTTTAACAAAGATTCAAAGAGAATTCCAAAATGTTTTCTATGATGAATGACCAAGATGCTATCATAAGACGAAAAAATCTTTGATGTTTTAGCCTCTAGTTGTACTCTCCTTTGTTCCTGAGTAACTAACAAAGAGGCGACAAAATCCTACAATTTAAATAAATGCATGTAATTTTAACGTGGCCCTTCAATCACGTAGGTAAACACTTCAACTTCATTGCTTGACTAAACTTAAAGAATTTAATGAGAAATATGTTCAGTGTAAAAAGGAAACAAAGATTTTTAGTTCACTTGTGCCTGTGACTCAAGAAAAGTTTTTCTGATTTAGGATGTCCAGTCTCTGTCTGTCCATCTTTCGTTTGTTTGTTGAACGTCCCTCTCGAAAGTTTTTCACTCATATGGAGACGCCACCCCATGCCAGTGGAGAGCTGCAAATTTTGTCCTATACTCGGCCCTCGGGGCAATTGAGCATTGGGGGATCTTTTTCGTGCCAGCACCTACTGCGATACTGCGATATCTGAAGGACTGGTCTCAATGTCCCACAGTGGTTTTCAAACCCGCGACGTAAGAATCAACTCCTTATTCCTCGACTGTAGGGAGACGCTCTTCCACATTTTATCTATCATCTATCGTGTGTCGTTAGTAAATTTTTTAAACATTTACCTTTTTTCAAAAGCCAATGGAGTAATTTCAACGGAACTTGTCATCAAGCATACATATACTTAGGCAATAGTAATAAGTCTGTCGAAATAACTAGTATGGACAACGGCCATTTTTAATGGGAGATTATTAAGAGTTAGTAAAACTCTAATATATGAGGAATTGGGCCAGAAAAAAAAATGAAGGTTAAATCTTCATTACATTTGTTCAAATCATGACCTTTGAGTTAGGATCAGGCCATAAGTATTTTACAAGAGAAATCACAATTTTTTTCATCTTTATAAATTCAGGAAGATAAATCATGATAAATCATATTTATATGGAGGCCTCCTCAAGTAGTGTTAAATTGATCGTTACCGGAGGCAAGGTGGGGACACAGTGGGCTATCAAGTTTACTATATTTGAAAGATCTTTAAGAAAATTTAGGAGCAATAAAGCCCTTATTAGTCTTTTAACAAGTAGGTATCCTTGTGACATGTAGATTCAAGTTTGGATGTTGGCCCTGTAGGAGATCAAAGTTTTACATATATAGGACATACAGGAAGGAAGAAGTTATTGGTGAAGAAAAGCAGGGACATTGTGATTTAGGTGAGCCTTGTGGCCCATTAGCCGTTTTATTGTTTCAAAATTGTTTTAAATTCTGAACTTATTTTGGCCTCCTTGATTCAAAGGAAAATTTTGAAATCATATTTTACATTTACAGGATACCACAAAATAAATGGCATGATTTTGCGTTAAAGAAAATATGCGTTGTGAAAACATGATTTCGTCGGATTCTAATTGATTCAAGTATAAGAATGAAAATTCCGTAAAATGATTGCATATCATTTGGATACCTCTAATCAAAAGTACTGCAGAATTGCCCACGACCTAAAATTTAAGAGGAGTTCTAGAAAGAGGAAAGTGTGTCACCTAACCCAATTCAAGTCATTTTCAATTTTAAAAAAAACTCACAAATTACCTCCATAATTGGATTAGGAACAAAGGTTTCAACTTAAAAATTTACTTCAGAAAGATGCATTATAGATAAGTATAAAGTATTTTATCCTTTATATTTAAATTTAACTAAATGCTTCTTGTGAGGCAAACTTTCTACATCTCATAGATCATGAGCAGTTTAGGAAACGTGTGAATTTCTACAGGATATAAATTACAAAGACATAACCCACAGAAACTGAATCATTGCCATGTGCAGTCTTGTTAACAAATGTTCTCGATATTTGATAAGAATACTTTTTGGTTAAGGTTATCCGATCCTTAGGTTCTGAAAATCAGGCACTGATTAATTGAAAATGCTCACAATTTTAAATTCTCAAATTAAAATGTATTTACCCACGGTGTTTCTTTAAAATTCATCTTTAAATTTAATCATATTATAAAGGGAAAATTAGTAAATCTCGAATAATTTTTCAGGAAATGCAATTTGAACTACCTACTGCTTATTTTTTAATTGATAACTGATCAAGAAATACATATTAGGAATAAAAATCATAGGTATCCAGGCTTTTAAAGAAAATTGCATGAATTTTACAATTATTTGGACTTTACTTTCTCCTACTTACTTCAATTGTTTCATAATGCATAGTGTATGAAGTGTTTCTTTTCAAAGAAAACACTGTAAATCACTTCTAATTTCAAATCATGCATATAAACATTGGTAACTAAGGCTAAATTAAAAGAAATTTGATTTTTTAAAATATGCAGGTTTTACTTCATTTTTCTAGGTACAAATGTCAACTTTTTAAATACCGTTTGTTAAAACTTTAAAGAACATTGAATCATACGTAGAGGCATAAAATGAAAATTGTTGCATGAAAAAATTTCCATTTCAAGCTTTATTTTAATACTTTTTGAATTAAATTATAAATTAAAGAGTGTGTGTGTGTGTGTGTGTGTGTGTGTGTGTGTGTGTGTGGTGGAGAACAATAATCAATCTAAAATCCTCCCTAACCAAAACTACTTAAAGCTTACTTAACTGTAATAAATCAAGGTAGTTTTCAGGAAGAAAATACTGATCTAGACAGATTTGATTAATTTGGAAGTTAGCATGCATCTACGGGCTCCTGTTAGTTTCTTTTTTACTTACGTAGTCCATTGGTTTCCATACGAGATGCAGTGTTTACTGTGTCTCCAAATAATGTATAACGGGGCATGCGCAGTCCAACAACACCTGCTACTACTGGACCTAGAATTAGATTTTCCTTTAGTCAAAAACATATATTTTCCAATTCTTTTACACTTCAGTCAAGTATGATCGCAAGTTTGCAAGAAGAACACCAACTCGATCGAAAAAAAATTCAAAATTTAAAAACAGAGTTAAAGTCCGAATCTGAGAACTTTAAAATGCGCAAGAAAACATATGCAAACATTTAATGTAAAAAAAAAAAAAGAAATATAAAGCATAATAAATTTTATTATTCTTATATACCTGAATGTATACCAATACGTAATTTTAATGTATCATCAGGCCTGTGTTTTATTTTAAAGGACAATATAGCTGACAAGAGTTTAAGTGACATTGATGCAATCTCCCCTGCATGGTTATCACCATTACGTATCGGAAGTCCACTGACAACTAAGTAAGCATCACCGATTGTCTCCACTTTGTAGACGTCATAATGAGCAATGATTGAATCAAAGCAAGTGTACAGTTCATTCAGCATGTCAATAATCTGTAAGTATGAAAAAGTAAATCATTAATTGCATTTAATTTAACTGATATTTGCAAAGCAAAATGTATTATGTACAATTTCTGACGTCTTTTAAAAGATGTATATATATATTTTTTTTAAATCTCCGATTAGCTGTTTTTAAATAAAATTTGAATAGCGCATGACGTTTATTCGTAAATCGAAAGATAATTGCATTGGAAGTGAAAAGCGTACTCAAGACCCATTGTTAAATATCACGAAAAAGGTCCACGCAGTTTTGTACTTTTATGCTGTTCTTATTCAACTTGATCGATCATATTTTTATTGTTGTAAAAATACATTTTTAATTGATCTAGAATTTAAATTAACAATTTTTATTATTAACACATATTTCGCCCACTACAAGCATTTCACTCAAATTTCAATACCCAGTTCTTAACAATGTTATAAAGAAAAGAAATGAACGAGAGACTACATGTATGAAGCTTTCTTAAAGTTGAGGTAGAAATCTAGTATATTAATGGAGATATGTCACTCCAATGTTTTGGCAAAAAGTATTCTGTAGAAAGTGATTTTATGATTTTTTATGTTGTCAATATGTTTTCGGGTGTGACTTGTCAGGAGGGAAGGTTTATTTTTCCTTTTTTGTGTCCATATGTTTAATGCCTTCTTTAGATATTTGTATTGTGTATAGAGTTTTTGTGATCGATAAATGTTCGTTTTCGTCACCTTAGACATTAAAATGGTTTAAAATCGAATGCAAATACCATTTTTAAAAGAGTTAATTTTTTCACTAATATTAATAAACCTTGCCCTTCTTAAAGCCTACTATTGAGAAAGAGGCAACCGACTTCCAAAAACAGTTTTTAGAAATCCTACTTGAAAACACTGATTCAGATATTAACTAAAAAAATTCAGTAATGAAAAATAACCAGTTCTGGTATTGATGGGAAATAAATTTGGTAATGCTTTATCGATACATTGCTATTTATTTCTGTAAAAACATCAGATCTTGTACTAATCTTGATCAACTTTCCAAGTTCAAGGGTCAGTGGGTGTTTCATCGACATCATCAAGTTCGATAACGAAGTAGGGACTATATACTAGCCTGCATGGGTGTGCTCTCCGCGGACAGGGCGGTGAAGCCCACAATATCACTGAAATACATGGTTACACTGTCGTAACACTCGGGATTTACGTAATGACCCCTCTTCAGCTTGTTAGCTATTGGCCTAAAATTCAAAGTTAGATATAAAAATTTCAACATATTGGAATTCCTTTATCTGTGCCAAAGTTTTTAAGAAATATTAATATGTGTCTTACTGATTTCAATAAAAAAAAATGAGCTATTATTCCTTTTGTGCAGTTCCGTGTTATAGCCAATAAATGTGATCAATCAGGAAATGCTAGACTTAGTTATGTTAACACATTTAATGTCACAGTAACATATACTTTAACCATTATCGATCACTGCGGCGAAAATGACATTTCTAATGAATATTTTTTTAAAGTAGACATCACGAATGACAGACATGAATGTAACGATCCATTATAAAAATCTCGACCATGACTTGGGTAATACATGGTAGCCTCTATTTCCCCTCACGTGACTCTCACCTTGGTAACATTCGGTATAGAAGATTCTCCGTCATCTGTTTTTCTTCCGACAGCTGCTCAGTTCTCTCTGCTACCAGAGCTTCAAGGTTGTTTGCATACTTCTCCATGATGGCCAACATGTTATCAAATATATTTGGTTTTCTGGGAAGGAATGGTTTGAGTTTTATTACATTAAAAGTTAATAATAAGAACTGTTTAGTTTGTATTATTTCGAGAGTAATTGACATCATAAAAATGCCAAAATATTTATTTAGTAGTATTAAAATACAGTGAATGAAACAACTTGATAATCTCTAGACTTTGCAGTTAGGATAGATTGGTTTATTGTTGTCTTCAATCTACGCATTAATTTAGAGAATTTTTATCCCATCAATTTGAGGAGTTAATTATAAGGGAAACATATAATAGAATTTTTTTTCTGTCATTTGCATGTGCTGCTTTCTTTTAATTGCTTAAAAACTCAATGAAGAGAATACTTGCTAATTATTTGACAAAATGTTGTCCTTTTTATATATAAAAACATATATACAAAATTGAATCAAAGAGGTTCTTGCAATTTTTAGTGTTCTTTGTTCAGATTCACGTTATCAAATCCTAGACATAGTGGATATGATTGTACTTTCACGAAGGACTAAATACAAAGGTTTTTATAAAGTTTAATCCTTTCTGGTCAAATATTTGTTTCCAATAACTTCAAAATGGTTGCTACTTTCTATAAGATATCCTCCTTTGAAAGAAAACTTTCAAGAATTAATATTTGACTTTTTTCTACAAATTTCCAAATATCATTGCTTTAATAGGTTTCTGTCTTACTAAAAAGGAAAAAGTTATCTGTTAGTTTAACACCCTTTTATTATAATTTTATAAAACCCCAAAATTTGGTGAGGAGAAGAAAAAAACTTAACTTAGTTTCATTTTTGAAAATGTTTAGAAATACAAGAAGTTTGTTTAGGAACATTTTTAGTTTCAATGGAGTTTTGAGCATAATTACTTTCCGTTTTCTCAATATTTCATACACTAAAAATACTAACAAAAATCCGTGGCCCTGCAATGTATTTTGTTCCCCCGAAGTCTCTTTTGTGACAATGAATTATCTAAAAGAGCATTAATGTTGCATTTTATGTACTATATTTGCAAATGTACATTTTTCAAATATACACGTGTTTCCTTATCAGATAATATATGATTTATTTGCTTACAATCCCTGCTGCATGGGTTTCAGGCGGACTCTGATGTACTTAAAGTCTGGTCTGAAGTCGGGGGCCTCGTGCCAACATTCCGTGATACACTGTTTAATAAAGTCTTCACATGACAACCGGGTTATGTCAGGACGAAAGGGGGTCTCGTCTGCGTCACGGATCACGTGGTTCACGATTTCTAACAAATGTTACATGTTCATGATGTACAGTGAAGACATAAGGTAAAATGATGATTTATAAGCATAATATTGATTTGTCCTTCATTTTATATGCTTAAGAGTTTTCAATAGTTAGTCTTTTCCTTATTAAGAAATAAAATAGTTAATTAGTTAACTGATGCCTATTGGTTTAGAGAGAAATAAATTAATTTTAATTTCAAGATTAGTATAATGTACTATAAGAAAAGATTTATTACTTACGCATAAAACCAGTGTTTAATTTTTTAATGTTTATTTGTTTCCTTGAAAACTTTTGAGTTTAATAAATAAAAACAAACCTGCCGGCGTGTACTTCGTATTTCCCCATGGACCTTCTCGTCCGTGTATTTCATACAGGATGATGGCGAAAGAGTAGGTATCCCCTTTTTGAGTTCCATACGTGTGAGCATTTTTTGAACGCAGCAATTCTGGTGCAGTCCATAGCAATTCTGAGGTTAAAGCAATAGGAATTAATAAACATAAGTCTAACAAAGGGAAGAAACTGTTTAAATTGCTTGTCTGTGAATATGCTCATTAAGAAAAAAAAGTTACCTTACCATCATACTGTCTTTCTGTATCCCCTTTGGTATTCATTTCTTTGCTAAACAACTGCTGCAGACCAAAATCTGCGATTTGGAGCACCCATCGACTGTCCACCAAACACGTGGACGATTTAAGGTTTCCATGGAACCCAATTTCACTCTCATGAATAAAGATCATTCCCTGCACAAAGATTGAATATTTAATTCAGACACAAATCACTTTTTGTAATAGAAAACAAGACCATAAAAAAAGAGAAAAAGAAGACGAAGTCAATACCTTAATTAAATCAGCCACGAGCGATGCAATGAACATATCGTCCAGATATATGTCCTCATTTTTCAAAATATCCTATAAAATATAAATATTGTCTATTGACTGTTAAAAAAGTAACATAGAAAAATTTTTCATAAGGATGAAAAACAGAAATTCAAGAATATATTTCATTTACGTTTCTTCAAGAAACTCATGTAGCTTCAAATTAGACCCATGCTACATGCATATGTATAATCATTATGAATTTAAAAAAACAACAAAAGATCAGGCCCAAGGATCATGAAGCATCGTAGGCTTAAGTCAAAATCTTCATGGTGTACTTAAATGTTGTGGAAGTCAAGCAGATCAAAATTAAAATATATTCCAATATTGATTCACAAGAGTGTTGTAATTTGCAAATTTTGAGATTAATTCAATAATTACATGTAATAACCATTTTACAGGCAATTGAAAAATTGACTTAAGTCTAAATTTGTTTCATGATCCTGAGGCCAGATCCGATGCTTAATTTAAATTCCGAAATTTCAAACTGTAAATTAATAATTTAAATATTATGATTCACTGAATTTTAAAAACCCAAATTTTGTCATATTCTGACATCAATCGCTAAAATATCAACAGAAGTACTAGCAAGGAATCTAGATTTTACATCAAATTGGAAATAGTTTACATGTGTCTGGATGTGGTGAAATATATTTCCTTCAAAGAAACAAAAAAAATATATTAAACACATTCATGTATATGAAAATATATTATACACAACTAAATGATTGATTGATTGAATATTGTTTAACGCCGAGTTGGCAATTTTTCAGCCATGTTTCGGCAGACACAACTAAATGAAATCCTATATAGAAAGTAAAACATTGAGGTTTTATATTTAACCCTCGCATGACGCAATGCTTCGAACGTTTGCCTTGGAGTTGTAAAGTAAGGACTTGATTCATACGACGCAGGTTCGAATCCTTTCGCGGGACGTGGATACTGGACCTTTGAATGAGGTCGTATTAATCGGGGTCCCGTGTGCGGTAAGTTCTGGCACGACAAAAATCCATCATTGCTCAATGACCCTCGAGTACAGGTCTAAATGTGCAGCCTTAAAGCGGTAAGTGGTAAAGAGTCTAAATATGAGGGGCAATTTTCCAAGTGACGTCGAACAAACCACAGTTACTTTATTTTCCATTTCACTTTTCTTTGCTTCTCAGCTGTACCTATAATCTGAGGCCGGTGCTCTCAATGAAATCAAATTACATTGTATTTTAAAAATACATCAATTTGTTTCATTTATTTCTATTCAAACTCTAAACCCTAATGTCTAAATGTATTTAACTAGTATTTGTAGACTGAGATAATCGTAAAAAGTCCTACATTCAAAACATCATAATTATATCTTCTCACTTTTTTCTGATGACAAAGAATTTTCTCACTAATTAATTTTCGTTATGCTGTAAATACGCTCATGATCTACCTCTGTAAATTACTCTTTGAGCCTTTGAATGTAATGAATATTGTTGCGAAAAGAGATTTTAGATAAAATGAAGATGGAAGGCATGTTTTCCAAAAATTCCCAATTTTAATAAAGGGATATAATATCTTGCAATAAATTCTGCAATTTATCATATTTATGCCAACTTGTTTTTTCTCCTAAATTTTCACTTATTGATAGAACCTATACACAAAAGAAAAAAATCCTCCCCTATGCAGCGCTAGTGTTCTCATATAATGGGTGCAGTAATGATTAAACTATTGTAATTGAGAAGTTCCACAGTTAATGTCATTCTTAAAGAAATGAGTATTGATTATATTGCATTAATTTGTACAAAAAAAAAACGATGACGCATTCCCTCATGCTTTGATTGTAATTTCTTCTGTACAAAGGAAAACGGGGAATAATTACACTTATCATATTACACGCTTGTCAAATTATTATTAAAATCATGTAAAGTGATATAAAAGCTAAACATTCCAATTTCTCAACTCATTTCAATAATAACAAGTATTAATCTACCTGTTTTATTTAATGCAGTGCAAAAAAATATTAATAATTGTTACATCATTTGGTTTTCAGCGATAATTAAAAGTTCTAGCTAAAATCCCCAATGGAAACTATTATAAAGAAAAAGAGATAATTTAAATTTTGTTGAGGTGCTTGTAACTTGTAGCATTTCGACATGTGTATATACTTCTAAGACTCTTTCTCTATCATCGATTCTCTACTTTTAATGTAAAGAACAGATTCTAGAGAATCGGAGAATAGTTGAGCTCCTTGCAGATTTGTGGTAATCTCTGATGAATTTGACTTTGATAAATTCAAGCAGATTTCCATTAGCACTAAATATGTCTTATGTTTTAAGATTGAATAGAATAAATAAAGCTCTCTACAAAAATAACCAGAACAAATGTAAAAAAAAGAAAGTCAGTCAAGGTTTTTAATGTGTCTTCCACACAACGTGGTTTAAAATCACGTTTACAAAGGAAGACAAGATGCATCTTTCTCTGGCATGCGCATATCAAATTCTTTCCAACAAATTCTTAACAATCCAGATTCATAACTTCCCGTTAGAAAAAAGGTCGATGCTAGATTTCTTAAGATAATGAGAGAAATCTTATTAATCATTCTAGAAATTAGGTCAGCGTAAACAGAAACAAGGTCATCGAAAGAGAAAAAAGGATGAGGCACATCAGCATTGTGAATTTTCCATGCTACAGGATCTGAAATTTTCTACCTTATGCTTAATATGATATACAATATTTTACAATTACGATGTGGGACGCCAAATTAACACATACCCAATATTCAAATACTAGAATTTGTAACTAAAAATTTACATGTATCTTCGACACCTTTTTGCTTAAATAAATTAATGTGAGGTTTAATTCTATTACGTCAACCTTTAATTCATTTGGAGACAGATACAATCACTTTGAAGATATGCACGAAGGATATGGAGATAACGAACAGTATTCAATATAAAAGTCCACAAAACACTACAAAATAAAAGCTGAGCAAACACGGACCTCTAAAACATCAGAGGTGGGATCAGGTGCCATGAAGGAGTGAGCATCCCCTGCTGACAAATCACACCTGCCGTGTGCTCCTTGTCATGATCCGGAAATAACGGAAAAATCCGTCGTCAATTCAGTGTATAAATAATGGACTAACAATTAGTATGAAAAACGTCAATCAGCATTAGACTTAATGAGAAATTGTATTTGCTGACAAGGGCATTATATCGACCAAAGAACTTACGAAATGATGACTTTAAACGAGACGGCTGATATTCTTGTTTCATCAACTTGTTTGTCAGTAATTTACCTCGTTTTAGAAATTGTTCATACGTAGAGCATGCTCTTGCGTATCGAATCAACTGAGATATATAAACGCCATATGCAGGTGATGAAGGTATATTGCTGCATAAGTAAGGGAAGTTGACGATAGAAAAGTTAAAGTCATCAAGTTTATCATAAAGCTTGGTTGTTAGATTACCATTAATGTCTTTTTGAAGTAAAATATCCAAGTATGAAACAGATGTGTCAGACTCTGCGGTATCTTTTACCTCAAGCTAACCAGGATATATCGTATCGACATAGGAATGGAAATAACTATTGTTAATTGACAATACGTCGTCGATATATCTAAATGTTGAGTTGAAGGCTACAGCAAGTGTTTTCTTCTTTTCACGCATAAGGTTTTGTATAAATTCTTCTTCATATGAATACAAAAATAGATCTGCTAATAACGGAGCGCAATTGGTACCCAAGGGAATTCCAATAGATTGTTGGAGGACCTGGTCTTCAAAAATCACATAGATATTGTCAATCAGAAACTCAAGCATCTTTTTTGATGTCAACTTCAGAGTACTTGTGTGTAGAATCAGAATGTATTTTAACAAAATCATTTTGCAAATGATCAATGACCAAGTAAGTAAATTTACGAGTTCCATTTATTTTTGAAAAAGCAGCTGTCAATGATATCAAAAATCCTGGAATGGTTGTGTATAAAGTTGAAAAATCGTAAGTTTTTAAGCTGTTGATACTGGTATGATCTTGTGATTTCAAATAGTCCAAAAGTTCTTTGGAATTTTTGAGTATCCACATCTGATTCACACCACTTCTTGAATATATTGTTGCACTGTACTCTTGAAAATTTTCCTACACTACTGTCATGATTTTAGTGAGCAGTAAAAGAAAGAGGTTTGGTTGAACATTTACTGGAACCCACAATATATCTTTGTTTGTAAGCATTCTTATGAAGTTTCTGACATATGACTTTGAAGAATTTCTTCCTTAGAAAGGGAACTATAAGTTGGATTACCACTTGTAGAATTAAATGCAAGTTCTTCTAAAACACAATTTATATAATAAGCCTTACAAACGAAGACAATATTGTTACCTGCTTTGTCAACAGGGACCAGTACTTACTGATCATGTAATCTGTCTAATTCTTTTTTCACTTCTGGATTATTGAATACAGAAGGATAGATGGTTTTTATATTGCCCATCAATCTTTTGATACGCGATTTTGATATGCATACGTAATTTTGAAGATAGGTACAAATACTAAGAATTAAGGATAGGTATAACTTTTGGGAACCGATCCTTATGCTGCAGGTTTGAATCCCACTCCGGAACATGGAGATGAGATCTTTAGGTGAGACCAAACCCTTGTCGTACTAGGTGCTGGAACAAAAAAAAGATCCCTCTTTGTCCAAATACCGTAAGTGCAGCTAAGAGATCTTAATTTACAGCCCTTAATAATCAATTTGAGTGAAAATTCCTGAGGGAACATTAAAAAAACATACAAACATACATGGAGATATATAAATGAATTGTATTTTTCTTATAATCATTAATCACCGGCAAATGGTGGCGTCTCCATATGAGTAAATGTTAAACAATATACAATCAATGAATTAATCATTTTATTCATTTACTGTAGCTCCATCTTTCATTCAATTGTATCTTTTTCATTCGTGTTTTAGGGGGGTAAAGGTTAAGTTGGAAGATAGGTCTAACTAATATTTGATTTGTATTTCTTTTCAATTTTTTGCACTTATCTTAAAATCAATTTGCATATATCTCCAAAAGAATAAAAGATTTTGAAATTTAAAGTCTTGAACTTTTTTGTCAAGTATACTAGTTTTTCAGAATATAGTTCATGACTTAAACCTATTTGAATGATTTCAATTTAATCGCAGTTTTTTTTTTATTTGATATAGTTTAATTGGCATTGTCTAATATTTGTTTTAATGTTAGAATTTAAAAATGATGCTGAATTTTAGAAATGAATGTCCAGACCAAAATCTGCCCAAAAGCTCAGGATCGAACCTCCTTAATTCATCTGAAGAAAGATACGATGCATTTGAAGACAGGTACGACAGAAGTGAAGATCGGAACTAATGATAAGAATTGAGGATATGAGTATTACTGATTAAAGATAGGTTAATTAATTTAACTTAGTTATAATTTATTTGAACCTATCTTCAACTTATTTGTCGAAATGTTTTAATTGCACCTACTGGTATCTTTAATTGTCAAACACTTTTAAGATATTTATAATTCAACTGAACCTATCTGTAAATGAATTGAACATATCTCAAATGAAATTAAAAAAAGGTTTATTCATTTAAACCTAGATTTAATTGTTAAGATAGGTACATGTTAAACTTTTTACACTAACTAGTATCTTTATATGCACCCTTTTTAAAAATATTTGATGAAAGGTCTAATTTTTTAAAGATAATTTGAAATAGTTCTCTTTTTTATCATTTTTTATCGGAGAAATTAAATTTATGAACTGAAGTGTGTGTGTGTTTGAATCTGGTTTGCACTTGTTATAATCAGGACATTGATTACGTTACAAGAGACTGAAAACCCTTACATACGAAAAATAATAAACTTACAATTGTATTACAAAAATTATAAACAACGAGCATAAAGTCAATATATTCTGTTATAGCAGTTTCTTTTGACCTACGTATACTTCAAAAGTACTTTTCAGTAAAAATATGTTCCTTGATAATTACCTTGAGGCTTCCCCTGGCACAGTACTGTGTTACTATATAAAGATGTGGGGATTCCACACAGACCCCTATGAACTTGTTGATGTTATCATGGGTGAGTTCTTTTCTGATGTACAGCTGTTTCTTCAGTGACTTGTTCATATCTAGGTTCTTCCTGGTCAGTATCTTGATGGAGACCACGGTCCCTTTGTAGGAGCCCACTTTAACAGGATGTGTAGCCACTGAACCACGGGAACTGTTCTTCTTGTCTGCCTTGTTGTTGCCGAAAAATGACCTTCCTGAGTCAGACTTTGTGGTACCTAAAAGTGTTGATCTCCCTGATTCATCACCATCGATGAGGAACCTCCAGGATGTTTGTGACTTTCTCTGTTTTAATCAAAATTACAAAACTTCAGCTGGTAAATTTTTTCATGTAAAGCATCCAGAAACAATTTTTTTTTCAATACATTCTGTACCTTGCTAAAATCAATTTTCAGAATTGATAGAAGTGAGAATTACACAATTATTTTCATTGTCGAAATATATCAATCAAAAATCTACGAAAAAAAATTATCATGAATAATCATAACAAAAATGTTGATAATTGTGCAATGAAATACAAATGAAAACAATGTAACAAATGCATGAGACTTTTTACAGCATCAATTCCCTGTAGGAAAAAAAACATTATAGTGTAGCAGGTTTGAATGGATAGCTCAATTTCAGAAACCAAAAAAAAAAATCAACTGTTTTATATTATTTCAGCTCGATAAATATCCATTGTGTTGAGTTTTTTTTTTTTAAATACATTTACGACATTAAAAAGACCAAAGAAAGTTAAATATTTCAAAGAATAATTGTAGATGTTATATAGTACATTTTGGAGACGTTTTAAGTGGAACGAAATCTTATAAGTTAAGCTGAATTCATCTTTCTTCAACTCAAACTTAATGTTTGCATTTCTGTATATTCGGCTTTCAAGCAATGCCAATCTTGTGATCCACAAAGATTTTACTAATTCTACAGCAATCGAAAATTTATTTATAAAGCATATAATTAAAGCTTAATTGGGATTGCAGATAAATGTGACAAGCCTTATATACATTTAGACAGGAGGAGTGTTTTCTGTCGACAATATACATGTAATACAAATATAGCCCTTTCATGGGGTCGATCTATAGATATAGCGACTTCACAGAAAAGAGTATAAACCGAGCGAGAAGTGCGAGGTTGATATGCTTATTTCCTGAAGACAACACGAATCAAAAGGGCTACATTAGTTATATAACAGGGAATTGACGAAGCAAATTTGAAAAAAAAAAATGGGGAGCAAGAATTTGTTTTGTCTTTTTAAATCCAAGGAGACTAGAAACTAAATAATTTAAGCTATTTGTTTGTGTTTCATGTATAATGATGGAGTACTATCGGGAATTTGCTAATTTTATGAGCTTCTTTAATTTTATAATATTAAAAATTTTATAGAACACATAGCTAAGAAAAGCCTTGTTCAAGGCATTGTTAAGTGTTGATAATTATTAACGTTTTCAAAAACACAAAGTCGTATCATAGATTCTATAGTTTTAATATTTCCAATTTTCGGAAAATCAAGTCGATACCGTTTCGAAATACATATCCATATTGTATATATATAAAAAAAAGTTGGCGGATGCTTTTGTGCTGATGCTTTCTATGTCTTTGTACAATCTAAAAAATTGTATTCTCATTAAATTAAAGCCTGGCACAGCTATCTACTTGTAACAAAATTCAGTACTTAAAAAGAAATTCTGAAGAGAACAAGTTAAATATTTCTGATAGCTATGAAAACACATATAAATAATGAAAAATAGATGCATATTAAAACATTCAAATGACATAAATAGAGGTTCATGTAAGTGTATTTGAATTGCAATATTAGAATATTGTATTCACATATGATAGCAAAGCTTCAATTACATCAAATTAGTTTGTCCACAACATATTTACTGAAGTATTAAAGTTATTTGAACAACACAGATTTACAGAGCACCCTTTGTAGATTAGTAATCCCATATAGTAAACATACAGATGTTATAAAATGGAAGACAAGTAGCATCTATACAACCAATGTACAATGTAACAAGAGACTTGTTGCAACATGGATATAAAACTACTCAGACTGTTAAGTGATTACAAGTACACATTCATGCAAAATACTGGTTTATTCACCTTTATTAGATCGCTTCGTGATAGACCCATTAAGTAACTATAATATTTAGGGAACAGACTTGGGAAATATTCACTACTTCGCTTCTAGAAAAACAAATATATCATAAAAAAGGATTTTCAATGCAAGTACAATGTTTTTGTTAATCCAAAATCATACTGTAAATATATAATATTGACATATTTTTGTGCAAATAGATATTTTTACCAAATATTTGTGATTTCTACGTATTAAAACATATACTCTTTCTCTCCTCTCTCTACGCACACTTTTCATTTATCCGACCTACGCTTTGTGCAAACATAAAAATACGAACATGTTTGATATTTGCATTAACTGGATAAATACCATGAAAAGGTTTAAAAGTAGGCAATATGACACCAATACGGAGAATTTATGTTCCTACTACTTAGGGTGCAATTTTAAAGAAATTATTCCAAATTTGAAATAACCATTTTAATAATAAAATATATCAGAAAAGTTGAATCAGAAATGGGAAGCTTGGATTCCAATTTTTACATGGCATGGACAAGAAGAAATGTATTTTGCATTCTCTTATCCTGTTTTCGGCAAATTGATTAGCTTAAATGAATTCATGATATCCGAAAACTATCAGCTGAGAATTAAAGAAGCATTTCGCCATATAGTTAAGAACAGTTGTTTGTCCCTTGAGCGACATTTAGAAGCGAAAAACAACGTTAACGGTAAAATTTATTATCAAAGTCTTCCGCTATTGAATACTTCGTAACCTCATCAGACAAATCAATAGCTTTTAACCCTTAGATTTTTTAAAATACTTAAGAAATAGAATAAGTCACAAAGGGAATACAAAACGTTTATTGTAAGCCATGAATCTGAAGCTTTTTAAAGGAAACTTATCTAAATGTCCCCACCAGTATACTTTCGATCCTAGTCTCACTTTTCCACTGTATATAGAAAAAGTGAGACTCAATTCAAAAATGATCTCGTCTTAGTTTTTACCCAAGGCCTGGTCATATTTAATGCTGTAATGTGCCAAACCCTATTTTTATGTTGTGCAGTAACATCAGTAAGACTCCTACAACTTTATTTAGGTTAAATTGTTTTATTGATTAATCATCACAGGAAACAGTTAGGTAAAGCAATACAACGGAATCTCTTGGGATTTGGATCTTTAACGAGAGGTTCCTATAAATTTTTTGCATTTTTTTTTGGGGGGGGGGGATAAAAATATTCCAAATAAATCAAACATAAACATTAAGACCCAGTATATTTAATTACTTCTTTTTTTATATAAATTTTTAATTATTCAACAAAAAGAAAAAAAAACTGAAAATTTCCTAAAAATTAGTGAACATTTTTACAACTTTGTTACTATACTGAGAATTAAAGAAGCATTTCGCCATATAGTTAAGAACAGTTGTTTGTCCCTTGAGCGACATTTAGAAGCGAAAAACAACGTTAACGGTAAAATTTATTATCCGCTATCGGATGCTATCGGATACTTCGTAACCTCATCAGACAAATCAATAGCTTTTAACCCTTAGATTTTTTAAAATACTTAAGAAATAGAATAAGTCACAAAGGGAATACAAAACGTTTATTGTAAGCCATGAATCTGAAGCTTTTTAAAGGAAACTTATCTAAATGTCCCCACCAGTATACTTTCGATCCTAGTCTCACTTTTCCACTGTATATAGAAAAAGTGAGACTCAATTCAAAAATGATCTCGTCTTAGTTTTTACCCAAGGCCTGGTCATATTTAATGCTGTAATGTGCCAAACCCTATTTTTATGTTGTGCAGTAACATCAGTAAGACTCCTACAACTTTATTCAAGTTAAATTGTTTTATTGATTAATCGTCACAGGAAACAGTTAGGTAAAGCAATACAACGGAATCTCTTGGGATTTGAATCTTTAACGAGAGGTTCCTATAAATTTTTTGCAATTTTTTTTTTTGGGGGGGGGGGGGATAAATCAAACATAATCATTAGGACCCAGTCTATTTAATTACTTCTTCTTTTTTTATATAAATTTTTAATTATTCAACAAAAAGAAAAAACTGAATATTTCCGGAAAATTAGTGAACATTTTTACAACTTTGTTACTATAAAAACACTGGTTAATTCTAGCTTTTGGTTCTTTTTTCTCAGTTGTTTTCTTTTTTTTTTTCTTTTTTTTTTTTAATTCAGACACTTTAAGATTTGGTAATTTCTCTCTATATAAGTTTCCTTTGGCTCGTTAACATTTATTTTACTTTTTAAGTAAAACATACATTAATTCAAGATTTCCTTAGTACTAGATGGAATTTAATAAAAGGAAAGTGTCTAATGACAAGGAATCAAGATCATTTGATCAAGGTAAAAAAGGACTGGAAATGAAAAAAAACCAAATGCATGGTGATAAAACATTAATGGCCGGTTGCGTACCCATGGTTCAGATAAGTACAGCTCAATGGTTGATCCGTGGATCACGTAAGCCGGGTTTAAACCCCAGTTGAGTCGGGATTACCTGAGTCGCATTTCTGTTGCACGCTATAAAACTGAGTAAGGTTTACCTAATCTTGACTTACTCGTATAAAATGTTGAAGGATAATAGGTTCCCTAATATTACAGCACTTTGAAACAAGTTTTAATACTAGTAACTGGTTGAAAATTAAAAGGATATATTTAAAAACAATGATATATATTGATGTTAAATTGTAAATTGATAATGCTGAAAAAATGCTATCACGTTACGCACGGTGTTGGTGTCAAAGAACTATATGCGGTATATTGCATATATTTGCCCCCACAAAAGTCAAATTTTGAAAACTTCCTGAAATGTGCTGAATTCAATAAATTGTATGAGAAATATAAATTAAGAGAAAATATTATAGTGTCAAAGCAGTGTATTCACAATTTTTGTTTTTATGACGTCACAAACTAGTCCGATTTTATATCCTTTTTCAGAAAGAGGACAAAATGGACAAAATTTCAACAATTTTAGCTTTAAAATTTATAGAGCGCAAGTTTGTTCAGGAACAATATTGACATATTTCATTGATATTATCATTCTACACATTATACATCAAAATATTGATCCTGAACACACATGCGCTCGGTGATTTTTACTCAAAATATCGACGAAATATGTACATTTTTCTGTACAATTCATAAAAAACTGAAATTTATGTCATGTTTGTGACGTCATTACGTACATATGGCGTCATTACTTATGAAAATATTCAGTGCTTTGAAGTCAGCATATACTCCCCTGTTTAAGAACTTAATTAAATATATCCCCATCAAAGTTTGATTTGGGGGGCAAATATTGGTTATTACCGAATAAAGTTCTTTGGTAACGTTATAAATGACGTTTAACGTCGCGTAAACGGAACGTAAAATTACTCATATCAGTGAGCGACTTGGTAAAACTTAGCATGAAGGTATCCCTGGGTTTTATATAGTTAAAGACACTTTTTATTTACACTATTATAGAGTAATGCATGTCAATATTCCCTATAGAAGGAAAATCAATAGAAAGCGTCACCAATACCGTGCGTAACATATTTACAATTTACATGATTTAACTCAAATCACGGCATCTTTCATCGAAACTCAAACCATAAGAAAATATAAAAACGCAAACAGAATACAGCTTTTGCATAAGACTGAAAAGAAGAAAACATGAATGGGGTCTTTGGAATAAGTAAATTAGAAACAAGAAACAAAATCAAAACACAATATACAGGTAAATAATAAAGCAAAAATGTATAAATTTAGATTTTTACTTTAAAATCAAATGAAAAAAAATTATAAGACATTATTTTTGAGAAAACACTAAATTATTATCTATGTTTTCTGTAGAATTTTATACAGCGGCAAAATTATAGGGGACGAACATACCCTCCCCCCCTCCCTCCCCCATGCCCGGTTCCTCCGATCCGGCCCTGTAGATAGCCTGATTCACTGATAACTGAAAGACTTTTTATCCTCATGAAATTCGGCATTATTAGAAATTATTGGAATGTGTATCATCAGCTGTTCGAAAGTTTAAAATTCGTAATTTGATTTAAATTTGGTATATTAGAGAGTTTCCATAAAATTCCTGTTTATGTACATTTATGCATTTTAATTAAAAGTTCTTCCAAAACTTCATACTACAGCTAAATCAGTGTGAAAACGGCACATTGAACAGTTGTTGAAGAGGTGTGCAAAAAGAAAAATCCCCATGTTGCTGCAACATGGCCAAAAAATTATTTTGTAGAATAGCTTTTTTTGATAATGCAAAATATATCAACGCAATCATAATTGCCATAAAACATTTCTGCAACATCGAAATATCCGAAATATTCTACCCAAAAATACATCGAAACCTTGTAAAGCTGGGTTTAAACCACCTCTACACCAGGTTCAGAATTTACCGTAATTCTGAGCCGTAAATTTACATGCGTGCAACGCGAAAACTTGGATTTAAACCCGGAATCATCGATCGTAGGTTTAAATCTGAGATACGCAACCGGCCATAAGAGTAATAGTTGTTTTTAGGTATATTACTATCAGAGGGTAGGTAATAATTTAAAAGACAAAGGATCAATTGGGAAAAAGGAATAAAGGTACCAATGATAACTATCTATGACATTGTCATTCTACACAAACACAATATACTCCCTCTCTCTAAATTTTTCTCAGGTTTTCCATTTACACATTGGCATTTGGACGTCTTTACTCAGTAATTGTGAAGCGACCAAACAAACGTTTGAAATCATTTATTTATTATTTATTTATTAAATGAAACTATTTGATGTTAATATTTGAATCTGTATCTACTACCCTTCAGCTTTTGGAAACTTTGTGGCTCAATCATAAATCAAGGGACAATAATTCAAGGTTCTTTTGCAAAAAGAGTGACTTTTAAATTTTTTTTAAACTACTTGTATGTTTAAAAATTATATATTTGTCAAATTTAAAGAATATGATTTCGATAGTTATATGTTTAGTTAAATAAGATTTTATGATAGATTTTATTATTTGATTGATGTACTCTGTTTGCTGGAGGTAAATTTGGATGTTTTATGTTTATGCATAACATATGATCAACTAAACACTGTCTTATGACCTTCACAGACGTATTTTATTATTTTTGGAAAGAATATAGAACTAAATCATCAAAAAGAATTTACTCTTTGTGAATGAGACAGAAAATCTATAATACATAGTCTACCAAAACAAGCTTTGCCGATGTTTCATTTCCCCCCAAAAGCCGTAACTTCAACCTTTTTCTATAAATTGATTGATCTTATTAGTCAAAATATAGTCATCCTTGTATTTCTAGATTATTATTACCGAAATTTCCAGACGAATTCCAAACGTCATAACCATTAAATTTCATACTGATTGCAAAACAAATAGATGAAATTTATTAATCTAAATGTAAAGATAGAAATTTATGCTTACAGATTTTTTTTGTTTTTGTTTTTTTATTTTGATAAAGATATAACACATCCTGCGTCTTATCGATTAAATGGAAAGTCTCTTCCCTTACCTGAGAAAACCGCCAGTAAAAAATATCGGCATTAAAGCAGGGCGTAACTTTTGATTAAAAGTTTATCATAAAGTTTATCAATTCGATCTGTAAAATTTCTGGTGATGTTTCCAATACATTTTGCAAATCATTCACAAACTGGAAAAGTGTGGTTGTGATAAAAGCAATTGAAATCGTTTATATTGCACATGTATATCTTGTATATTTTACGTGTAAATATAACTGTATAACTGTTTATTTCAGCATATTAAAGGTTACCTTTCGTTTGGCCGGAGAGATGACTTCTTCAACGTTGTCTATGAACATAAGATCTCTGTATTCTAGTTTCCAAAGAAGCCTTGCTATCTTTTGTTCGTATAAGTAGTGTCTGGAATTAAATGATAAAAGGTTATGTCTTATGATGTGCTTTTTGTTTACTCTGCTTGATATAAAGAAATTGCCTTGGGTTCATATCTGCATCAGTAAAACATTGATTAAACGGAAAATAAATTTAATTTTTATTATTAATTTTGCTTTATAGTGAAATGTCACACTTTTCTTTCTGTACTTTGATGTAATTTTATTTAGGGTAATATTTTTGGGATAGATCATCAATAAGAGTTTACTGAAACCATACACACACCTGCAGATAAATACCATTCCAACACAGACAGCTGCCGCTATCACACTGCATATGGTGGCTAGCCTCCAGTCTGAAAATCAAAAAATCTGCCTCGTTTCTGATAACTTTCTTCTTTTTGTTTTAGATCTACACATATAAAAGTTTACAATTTCCGTATACATGAATGATGAGTAATGTATAAACAGTCCTTGAAATCTGAACATCAGGTGAATTATAATTCAGAACTAAGTGAGTGTTAGCAAAGGTTTCAAGTTTGCTGTTTACAAACTAACCGTCGGGGAAATTCATATTCCATTCCGAGACAGCAAAAAACATACATACTCTTCCTTTAATCTTCGGCTAAGATTTCAATTAATTTACTTTCTGAACAAAAAAATACTACTAGAACTCTGAAGATAAAACAAACAGTATGAAAAATATGCATGGATATCTTCATTAATTTTTCAAAGATGACAGGTATTCATCTTTAATGAAAAAGTATTGGTTTCAAAGAAAATAATATAGTTTACTTCATTTTACCAGTCTACGTAAATAACATTATTTGTCTATACATGACACCTATTCCTTCATCTGATATTGCTTTGCATTGCTCCTAAACGGTATCATTTGAATGTATTAATTAGCTTCAATTCTACTCATTATATCCATATTCCATACATGAGATATGGAGATGATGAACAGATATCAAGCTCAAATGTCCAATAAAACAACACAAAAACGGAGCAGAGCATACATGGACCTCTGTAAAACAGAGGTGGGATCAGGTGCCATGGAGGAGTAAGCATCCCCTGTCCACCGCTCACATCCATCGTGTTATCCTTGCCCTGATCGGGAAAAAAGAGAAACCCGGCCCCTAGACAATTATATATAACACCTAACAATTAGTTTGAAAACACCAATCAGCATTCGAGTTAATGACAAATTATATTTCCTGACAATGTAAATGCATTGATTATAGACCTTGAAAAGGGATGACTTTGACCAAGTCTCTTGATATTCTTGTTTCATCAACATATTTGCTAATAACTTGCTTCATTTAAGAAAATATTCTTATGCAGAGCGTGCTCTTGCGGTCTTAATAATAGTTAATTTCTGGGATATTTTGGAAGCTTTATTAAACTATCTGTGAAAACTCAATATACATTTGTTTATTCTATAATATTTCTACTTAAAAGCTTATGTTTTAGTAACGACTTAATTCTACATTAGTATACCAGTTTCGTATTGGCATTTCTCTTCGTCGAATCCACAAGGCGGCTCATCTCTAAGAACCTCTGTCCATTTCATTTCTTTATTTAGTACAAACTCCTAGAGGATGATAGGAAATATATTTTTATGAAATATGATTTGAAAACGCTGTCGTTCAAATATTTGAAAAACGGGAACATAAGAAAAGGAAGCAAATTTTATTGAGTCGCCTTAAAATATGCATTATCTTTAAAATTCCACATCTGAACAAATACTAACGGGCACTCCAAGATCATTAGAGTATCTGTTGAAACAGCCGACAGGACCAAGAAAAGGTTGACCTTCAGCTGGCAAAGTCAAGGACAAAAGTGAGTAGTTCCCTTCTGACTCACCTGTTTCGTCCACGTAAACATCAAAACCTTGGATACCTGAAATTACCCAATATTTGCTCTATAATCAATTCTAAAACATGCAGATATTTTATTCTGGAAGATATAAAGTACACGTAAACAGCGCTTCAGAAGACCCTCAAATTTGACAGTTTCCCTAATTTTAGTTTCTGAAATATTACAGTGGACCCTCATTTATCCGGACTTTGGTTTCCAGTCAATTTGTCCGGATATGTGAAGCATCCGGATATCTGAATCACCAGTTAAACAAGACAAAAAAACATTTAAGAATTTTGTTCCGATGAAAAATCGTCCGGATACTGAAGCATCCGGATATCTGAGGGTTCACTGTATATGCTTTAATTAAGTATATTATGGGAACTCTCTCTAATAAAGAGGCATCATAATACCCTTGGCTGACATAAATTGGTGTATAACGGTCTCAACTCGTCGGATGACTCATTTAGATCTGTGGAAGAAGCATGACGTCACATGTAGAAAACGTAAATGTATCTATTCCGTGTGTCTCCATGCTTCTAATCGGAAAACCATTATATGCGCGTCAGAAATTTGCACTCAAAAAGGTCAAGATAATGCCAAGTATTCCTATAAAAGGTTTCTCAAAAATCAATGCAAATCAGCTGAGATACAAATTTATTTTAAATACAGTTTAAACTAAAATAATCACGAGGTGACTGGGGGTGTACTACTCCACTGAACACAAGAGGCTCACTGCGTAGAAGCGTTTGAACTAACAAACATGTGAGCGAGCCGGATAATAACCGTATAATAAGATCAATTCTCTCAATTATTGGCATCTTTTGTCTCATAAAAATGTGTCCATTAGCTTGATAACGCGATGTATGATTTTAATAATATTGCAATTAAAAGATCACATCGTTGAAGTCTTTTTAACAATAAAAAACAGTATCAGGAAATAAAGACTGTTCAGTGCTTTACTAAATCATCCACATCTGAGTTGAGGAGGTGAAAATTTGGATCATTTCGGGAGAATAATAAATATTTCCCAATAACAAAAACTGAACTATCATTTTAGTTCATTTCAGGCGAATTTTAGATACATGTATTTCCCAATAACCAAAACTGAACTATCATTTTAGTTCATTAAAGGCGAATTTTAAATATTTCCCAATGACCGAAACTGAACGATCATTCTAAAGACACTTGTCGCATTTCATCATAATTCTTTTAATATTTAAGATAACAGAATTATATGGAGGACAAAACACATAACTTTCGAGCATCCGAACGCTACCTTTAGCGCCAATATTTGCATTCATTCGACAAATTCCAAAGAAAATCCTATCTTTAGGTATACGACATATATATACATTGGGGGACTACATTTTTGCACCTAGATCCAAGATCATGTCTGGTACAATGTATAGAACGATTTAGCCTGAAAAGATTTTTGTACATCTGGTCGTTGTGACCACTAAAATATCACTATAATCATATTCAAAATACACTGTAAGCAAAAACTCACTTTTAAAAGAAGCTTTCTGGATGTTTGAAACAATGGATCTACCGTTTTTGAGGCTACTTTCATTGTTTGATATAACAGAATCCAGAGCGCGTGCCAACACCATAACGGCATCGTACAAATGGGCAGCGTGAATTGGAACAACCTGCTGAATCTGTTGAAAAATGATTATTATTAAAATTCTATTTTCATTAAATACAAAAAATATTACTATATTCACCCATTTTGCAATAAAGACTAACCGTAATGTTTAATAAAGGTGGCGGGCGAGGCAGGCTAATTGGTGGCTCCATGTTACGCATGCGCACATCGTCGATAAATTTGTCCCAATCCGGGTTACTGGGAGAACGAGGGGATATAACCAGAACATTGCGGAAGGCCTGCCAGTGTTCATCCTTCAGTTCTGTCTCATACGGGGCTGCAAATAGAAGGTGAATGTATATCTCTATAGGAAAAAAAGGCCAAAAAAAGTGTTTCTTCTTTCTGTGTTGATGTTACCAAATGAAAATATATTATTTGTCCTTTCTCAGAAGTCAAATTCATAATATTTACACAGTTATTGTGTTATATATCTCTTTTTATAAATTGTTAAAGAAAAACTTTCCTTTTATTTAAAAAAAAAAGTAAAAAATATAAGAGGGTCATTTGCGCAACATTCAAATAAGCTGTCGCACAACGTTTAGCAACAAATCTCTCAAGAAGTCGACGTTCTCATTGTTATACATGTATTCACATTTAAGACGTAACTGTATGTTCGTATTTTTAGATTTGTTTTATATTAAGTATTTTCAGATTTTGTATACTGCATTTGAGTTTCCGCTTTCTAGAAGATTGCTGAAATCATTTGTAGTTACTAAATAACCTATTTTAATGGTTATTGATGGAATAAATGTATTGGGTTTTCTTAATGCTCCATAGTTTCAAAAATATAAAATATGTTCTACAACTCCATCACGTTTTGCTTCTTCTTTTTTCTGTGAGTTGTATCTACTTCAAGAATTCTAGTATTTGAATAACGATTAAGATATATATCAGTGCACGAGGAAGCATATCAATATATTTCGTGTAGAAGCAAATTCTCTTTTTTTTCAAAATTTGACGAAATCATTGCTTACTAATTACTTCAGTAAAAAACATATAAAAATATCGGAAAGTTAAAAAAAAACAAAACATTGCTTTGACTAAGGTTCAAATACCGAATTTCATGAAAATGTATTTCCTCGTTGGCAAAAAGTAGAAACTATGAAATGACTTCCTGTACAAATTTTCTGTGATTTTCAATCCCAATTCACATTTTAGTTCTAAGTAAGAAATAAGGTAACTTCTAGAACACCCCCCTGCAAACAGTTACCAGATTCTAGTTTCTTTACAAACAACCGTACAGACCACAAAGTTCTGATTTTTGAAACAGCAATTGTTATGTCATGCTGAAATAGACGGTAACAACTTGGCAAGTAGAATAGTTTACACATTGGCGTTAAAACTGTTCTATCAGTGTTATTGATATTAACTCACTTTTCAAAAAGTGTTTAAGCTTTGAGGTTGGTTGTTCATCCAAAACTGTAATGACTGCAAAATCTCCGTTGTCTTTTGGTTGTTTGTCCAAACTTCGGACAAAGTCTATGAGAGCATGATAGTCACCAAGGAAAACGTAAACTGGAAAAATATGAACATTTCATGAATCATAAAGCAGTTCTTTATTTCTTTGTTCTATAAAGGTTTTAAACCTTGTTAAATGTCTGCGTTTTAAATGTTCAAAAACGCATACCTTGCAAAAATAATAACACTGACAAATCAATATATTCTAATATCATCTTTCTTGAAAAAGTAAGTTGTACAAACATACTTCAGTGATTCATTTTTTTTAAATATGCGCAGCTAAAAATTCTTACTTCGTGTTGACATGACGGTGGCATGAACGTATTCTGACATATCTAGTTTATTGGTATAAGGCTCTTGAAAGAGAACTTCTTTACGGATTTCGATATCATTTTCCCTCAATAAGGATTTGAGATCTTCTGCCGTCTGGTTCCATACTGTTCTGTTACCCAGAACGAGGCTGATTTTGCGCCAGTTGAAATGGCGTAGTAAGGAGGTTATGGACTTGGAGACTTTGGATGTTGATGGTTCAGTTCTTACAAATGTCTGGCGGATTCTTCTTTCTAACTGAGGATCCTCTGCTAACTCAGAGTCGTGACATCTCTAAAATCAAAACATAGTTCTCAGTTAAATGTCTGATCAACAAACAGGAATTTTCGGCATTAAGACATTTATTTTAAAAGCAGTATTACTTTTCGAGTTTGATTCAAAAATGAAAATAAAGAAATCATGAAATTTCATATTCTGAATTTGAAACCCATAGCCTAGCTACAGAAAGATATGAAATGGAAAATATTTCAAAGAATTTATACACGAAATTTATATAACTTTAAAAATTGTATGTTGTTGACTTTCTCGCAAATGCGTTTTTTTATTATATACCCATCAATTTCCTTGTTTTTGTTACTGTTAATTTTACAGAGTTTGATCCGATTTTCCGGATAACCACACTGTGGTTTTCTGAATCCATATCACCACTCTCTGAAACTGATGACGTAGTACGCAAAAACATGACGTTATTTTTCTTGCGCGTTAAAAAGTCCCTTGTTATTATGCTTTGTTTTACGGATAAATATTATACAATTGATCTCTAAAGTTTTATTCTGCTATATTTAGCTAGTTATAAGGGGGTATATAATAAATTTATGATTATAACAGTAACTTGATCCGAAGAGCCGTATCAGGTCTCGTTGACAGGCGTGGATCATCAGATCAAACTCGACGCTTCGCGTCTCGTTAGATCTGATGATCCGCGCCTGTCAACTCGACGTGATACAACCCTTCGGATCAAGTTACTGTTATAATAATATATATTTACCATACGCAAAAGACAGTAGTTCATGAACTTATCAAATTCATGTTTTCAAATTCTTTACGTCCTTTGTATTTCTCAGATTTCTCAGATGGAAAATTTGTCACAATTTTACTTTCATTGTAAAATGACTTACACGAGGATCTATTTCAAACATTCCAACTAACGTCATGTTGATTGAAGAACATTGATTTTGAAGAACTGATAAGAGACCAAGCTTTTAACGATGTCTAGTGATAATAGTTTGAGATGTATGTTTTATGGTGACTGATACATGTATCTAGATTTCCTATTTTCAGCATATCTAATTGACTGCTACCAGTAAACACTTTAAATGTTGGATTATGCCTCAAACGTGATTGTTATGGCGAAAAATTTAATATGACTTGCAAATAAAATCTCTTGCTCATTCTCAATATTTGCATTGTTGAACAATACTTTGTTGGGTTTTTTTTAGCCCATCATTTCGATTTGTTGAATATGCAACGTACTAAACACCCTTGAAAATCAATCAGTTGTAATTTCCACTATGTAAGTTAGGTCTCTTTATTGTTATGAAGTTATTAATATTGATTTATTGCCAACATATTATTGTTCCTGTGGTTAGGGCAGACAATATAAAATGTTCTTTATTTGCCGCAAAGTATCGTAGGATTGCCAAAATAGTGTGCATGCATTCCCCCATCCTCACACATGAATTGAATTCCTGCAAAAGTCTTATTGTGTCCATCAATTCGATGATATTGATTGAAGGTTGTTATATTTTTATAATACTCGGTATTTCAGGGTTTAATATGCCAAAGTGGTTGCGGCCAAGTTTAATGTATTTAAGCCTTTTTTTATTTTGAAAAAAAAAAATTAAAAATCCAGAAGACTTATCCAAGTCTTGTAAATGTTTACTTAAATTATGTACTATACTTTACAAAGATGATGTCCTGATCATTCTCTGTCTACAGTGTATTTGGGACACAAGGTAAGAACACCTGTGGCATATGGTTTGTAAACATGTATAGAGGTTTAATTAATAACATAGATTTCATTATTTGTACGTATGAATGAACTTTGATTACAAAAGTACCCACAAACAATATAGAAAACAAACGTCACTCAAAAAATGAGACTGACGTAATAAACATTAATAAAGTAAAAATGTCAATAAATATATCCGATATACAATCTACATTGTTAGTTTAAGAGAAAAAAAATAACAGGTGTATAATTTAACATTTTTCACAGTGAAAGTAAAATACACTCCTTGGAGAAGTATCAAATTGGAATTAAAGAAGAGTGATTGACAGTATTGTTTATTATTATTATTATTATTATTAAAACCTGTGGTTCTCCTCTTTGTAAGTTTAAAATACAGATTGCATTTATCCCTATTATGAAAAATGATTCAAGATAAAAAAGAAACACATAATCCTAAAGCTTTCAAACAATTAAATGCATCTATAGTTTTACATTAACAATGTATTGTAGATATCTAGAACGGGTATCATATTTAAGCGTTTAAGAAAGCACCTCAATAGATATAATTGTGTCCTCCGAAGAACTCTTTGAAAATTATTAAATCTGAAAAAGAAGAATCCACATTCGACTTTTACTGAAGATATAATTAGTGGCAGTGTACGGAAGTCTCGGGAATAGGAGAAAGAAGACAGTTTTAGATTTCGGTACAAGTGGTGTCATCTACCGGTAAAGAAGAATCCAAAGAAATAAGTTAGTATTTAGCACTTTACTGATCGCATGATGCCTGCACAGGCCCTGGTTGTCTTTATCATATGACTGAACAGTATTCACAAATCCGTTCAAATAAAGTAGGTACCCATTTAAGCTTGCAAGCACCATGTGTATAAACAACTTGTTTTGGAGACAATTACAAGTCGTTGCGAAAATGTCTTTAAAAGATATTTCTTGTATATAAAGTAACAGTGAATCTTTCCTCATGTACATAATGTAGATTCATTTGTTTTATTTTTAAACTGCTTTTTTTGCTTGTTTTTGCACTAAGATCCTTTTTATTCTGTTATTTGAATTATTAACTACATTGTTGAATTTCTAATGTCCTAGTAATGCATTAAAAAAGACAGATTTTTCTAACTATTTTTATGAAATCTGTAGAAAAAATTTGAGTACCGTACTTTTACATAGGCATAGAAATCAATTTTAGTTACTGTATAATGTCTCTTTTTTCCAACTCTTTTTTCCAACCAAGGTGTTTTATTCTTATATAAATTCTTAGAAACAAAATTATATGAGAATGTCAGAGAATATTAACAGATGAGAATTAATATTTCATTATATATGGAATGTAAGTACATTAAATATTTAGGCAGAAAAGTATACTTTTGTTTTTTACTATAGATGCTTTTTTTCTGAAGTGGAAATGTGACTCAAAAAGGAGAGCAAACTGTTAATTTGTTGGAATGTTTAGAATATGCAACGAGAGACAATTTTCATCTCAGTTTTCGATTCTCTGAAATATTATTATGAACAATAATTCTATGTGATAATTTAATAACGTTGAGAAGGGAAGTAGTCTTATCTCCCTACAGATTACCTAGTTATCTATATGTAGGAAAAGGCAACCCTTCTAGATCTGTTGATGCCAAGACAATAAATTGCACTGTCCTTTTATATAAAGAGAGAGCTTTCTTACATTTGAAGCTTGCTAGCATTCTCTGTGCTATTTATTTATTGACTGTCTGCACTAATAGTGATAATAGCAATTATCTGAACTATATATAACACGTAATAATTCAAACAGCCTCAACAATCTTGTGCGAATTTCAAAATTGAAAGCACTTGCAGACAATCATTTTCCTAACTTCCACGATTCTTAACCATCAATCTGCGAAAATCGAGGAACACTTCGGACATATTTATTACCTTCTGAAGGAAGCAAGCAAGAATTTTTTTCAATCATTGATATTTTTTTTCGTAATTAAGCAAATATTTGTTGGAGTAATAAACAAAAATAAGCTTAAAAAGAGACGGAACACCCTGAATTCTGTAGTATACTTTAAAAGAAAAAAGACTTTCACCTCATTCATTAAGTTCAAATCCGTAAAGCACGTCTCTATTATTTACACAAAGTGAGTACATTTAAATAAAAACGTAAAGAAGTTTGGATGCTAACGAGGCTCTCATTAGTGAAGTTAACTGACCAGCTGCTGGCGGATTGTAAACAAGGCACCAGGTTTGTTGTTTAGTCGATTCAATACTTATTACATGAAGGAGCTTAGATTCTGTGTGTTATTACACACTTAGGTGTCAAAGACGTCATGTTTACACTTATGAAATATTTTATCCAACACGTTTTAAAAATCAATGCAACACTTTGCACTTTCTAAGGAATGACAATTTTAAAATACATGTACATTTGTGATCATGTCACGCACATAAAGCCTGATCAACATCGACTCAATGCCCTTCCTACTATACATATAGATTAGATACAGAGGAAATCGCCGGAAAGGATATATTTTTCAACACTTATTTAAGTCACCCTGATGTTAAGCAATCATTTTCAAACTGTGAAGAGGCTCGATCACAGCAAATTATTTTTCGTTCTGTTCTTTTTTCTTATTTTTTGAATCTAGTATTTAAAAAAAATGTGTATAAATGGCAGTGTCCATGTTTTGCTATGGGAAACCCAAAATATGTGTCGGATCAAAAAGTAAAATAGGAGGTGCACAATGGCAATATGTAATAAAGATTCTGTGAAAGTTTCATCAAATTTCATTCAGTTGTATAAGAGGAGTTGCGGATAAGAGATGGGTACCCCAAAGCGTAACAGACGGACGGACGTACAGACGGACGGACGGACGGAATTAACGATTACTATATACCCTCTCCCTTTTCAAGCGGGGGGTATAACGGACGGAATTAACGATTACTATATACCCTCTCGCTTTTCAAGCGGGGGGTATAAAAAAAATCAATTATTACAAGAGTTCACGATACTTAATATCCAATATTCTCCTTCCACACTGCACGTATTATTTTCTATCAAGAATCCTTGATGTCAGTCCACATTTTAATAAGAAGTAAGCGAAATTGAACGTCAGCCTTCAAATCAAAACTATTAGAAACGCGTTTTAGCCAGCCTTTGATATGTTAACAGAGAGGACTCCAATGGTTTTATGGGGGGTGGGGGAAAGAGAGGTAAATGGCCGCTTCTCAGTTAGAAGATTCGAAGCGCTAAGTCGTTTTGCGATTCTAATGTTTAGTTCTGATTCAAATAGTAAACAAACATTGTAAACATTCAGAGATAAGTGGAATAACTGTTATTGACACTTCCCTGACGTGAAAGCGAGTAAACATAAAGGGGACTGTTAGTCAATTGATTTACTTATTTAAATATCTGGTCATCTGCCCCATGTCTTGGTTTTTTATGTTAAATTCATTCGAGCGATTATCCACAATTGTTAAAAATTAGATTTCCAGTAAATAATAGTACAGAACAAATCTATCAAATTTCAAAACATTACGTACATGACATTTGAATAACTTTTTTAAACCTTGAAATTCCTTTAAGTTGTTACTGAAAGTCAGCCTTCAAATTAAAACTTTTAGCGACAGTTTCTTACTCAAAATTGAATAGAATTTTGAAATATTTTGAGAAATTTATTTATGTGCTGATTACATGATTAGACCATGCCTTTAATAAAAAAAAAATCTCGGGATTTTAATACAACGTCGAAAGCCTCGTCAAAATTCGATTTCTGAACAGAATTAGCGCTGGCTGTGTCTGAATACATCAGCCTCTTTCTGTTAATGTTTTATCTAATAACAAGCCTGATTAAAAACGTTATTGAATTCTTATACTAGTGGATGTCTTGTGCCACTTTTATGTCATCATAATATCGTATCTGATGATAAGATTGAAAACAATCCAAGAAAAAACAACAATTAGGAAAATGAAGTGCAGCTTGAATATTTGAATAGAAAATACTGTGTTTCATTAACTTTTTCATTCCACCCCTTAAGAAAAGTTCATGGCAATAATGTGTAAAATAATTTTATTCTCGGGGTAAATATGTGCTATGGTGCAGCATGTCCTTGTATAATCTGATATGGATGGTAAGTGTGGAAGATACGGGAAATTATTTGAATGCTGTTTTATTTATTTACGAATGACAAAGAAGGAACACATGCTTCAAAAAGTACAGATGCACTTTTTCATGCTCTTATCTCCATCTGTTAAACAAATTAAATACTTGAGATACCACTGGAGCTTCGCTATCCAAAATTGTGTGAATTATATCTACATGTACTAAGATAAAGTGAACAATAGCTAGATTCTAGATCTGCATGTCCTGCAGTTTCGCTCAACATGCAAAATGCCAAAATGCGAATTCTTCAAACTTGAAATAGAATACATTTACTAAAAAAATAAAAAGAACACAAATCAACATTATGATTTGAAAAATGACAACCGAATGAAAATTAAAAGTATATGTCTCTTAATATAGAAGGGTATACTTACATATACCACCATGGGCATGTTCCAGGCTGCAGCATTGGTGGCCGCGATTCCACAGGCCCCCTCTGGACCAATGAAACCAAGGGTACCATTAATCTTATGATCTGTCATGTACCCCACCGTCTGTAAAATATCCGAATGTGTGTCGGCAAATATCGGCTCCAAAACATAGCCGGGTAAAAGACGGTCATCCTTGTTGATATCATCAATGGCACGATAAAAGGCCCCCCCGTATAATAGTCCACCAAAGTAGGTACGAGAGGCCAGGAACGAAATCTTAAGTGATTTAGTTACATTTGACACAGAAACTGGGCTACACAAGACAAAAACACACAAAAAAAGCAAGAAGACGTTTAGGTTACACATGGACGTTAAAATTTACAATATATACACACAACATCAGCACGCCATTGGATTTCCTCTTATATACTTCCAAAGGGAGATTTCGTCTTTTATATGTATGCAAATATTTTTCCCAATATCATTGATCATTAAAGAGTTTAAATAGCTATGTAAATCCAAAATGTATAATTACTGATTGGTCCCATTGTGTTTCACACTGACGACGGTGTTTGCTCATTTTAACGCACTCTCTTGATCAACACATCTTGAATTTAAAATTATAAGAATCCGCTAGTGAAATTAGCGTACCTCCACTAAGTATGTGTAAATACACAAATTTCGAGAGAGGGGTAATTTAAAAGGGGATTGTTATCGGTTGTATATAATTCCTCCCCATTCAAATTTAAAACTGACCACATGTTACAAGATGAGCTCCTGCCATGGATTTGAGGGATTTTTCCGAGTAAAACGTCCCATTGTTGGCGTTTCTCCCCTTCCTTGTATTTAAGTGTCTTCCCTATCACACGAGCTCTGGTGTTTTCCTATACGAAGCGATAATCTGCGCTCCGGTTTATTAAGCGTCAATACATTGAATGGAATCAATTACTTGACACCTTCAAAACATGAAATATTATATTCCGTTAAAAGTTCTGACAATGATATATTTTTTTTAATTATATACTATAGATTTAAACGTATAAACAGACAAAAGTAAAAACAACTCATTATCATATGTTGAAAACTGTTTGATTTGCACTTTGGATAAAGATGTCTTCACGACTTTTAGTTGTACAAAAACATTAGAAAATGAAACGATTATCAGGTTTGGGGTACAATTTTGGTGGCTTCGGTTTTATTAAATGCTCAAGTTTATGTTCATGTTGTAATCATCTGATTTGATTTAACTTTCTATGTAAATTAATGTGTAATGTAAAAGATAAAGTCTCTTAAATCCAGTAAAGAATACGAATCGTGAACAGGATCAGCTGTCTCGGAGAAGTAAATATCCCCTGTCAAACTTTCACTCCCGCCCAGCCAGGAGATAACATCGTTGCCACCTCATTTGCTGAACTGCATAAAGAAGAGTATTAGATACATGTATATATCATTTTACACAGCAGTACGGGGTGCTTCTTATGCAGACATATCCAATAAATTTGTGAATTTTTTTCCTTTGACCAAGTTCATGGAGAACTATGGAGGCAAGTCATTCAAATTCTGTTAGTTGTGCCAATCACAAATTTTCATGTTACAAACAATACATTAAAGTGCATGTTATGACTAAACAAAATAAGTCAATTTATAAATAATAATTTTATAAAGCAACATTTTGGCTTTGTCAATAAAAAGGAACAATCATAAAAAAAAAATTAGCATCACAGAAATAATCTATTGCATCACGAAATATTTTTCAGTGACTCTATCTTTAAAATTCTTCTCCAAACGTGAGCTATTTTCGTGGCGCCGATATTGAACGACTGCTAACTCCTGTGACTAGCTGTTACGTAACGGTGAAATAAAATACGAAATATAGAGAAAACGAACAGTATTCAAGCCCAAAAGTAAACTTAATACAAACCGGTAATAGAGCAAACGCGAACCTCCGAAACACATCAAAGGAGGGATCCTGTGCCATGAAGGAGCAAGCATCCCCTACCAACTAGTCACATCTACTGTGTGCCTCGTGACTTGTTCGAGTAAACGGAAATTTAAACCCGTAGAGGATTCATTATGTAAATAATGGCCCAACAATTACCAGTAGTATGAGAAACACCCTTTAGTATTTGACCTAAAGATAGACAATATTTGCTGATAAAGTCATATCGAACATAGGACTTGCAAAATGAAGACTTTCACAATACTGTTGATATTCTTGTTTCATGAACTTGTTTGTCAATAGCTTTATCTCTTCTTAAAAACTGATTAAATGTATAACATGCCCTTGCGTATCGATCGAATCAACTAGAAATTAAGCATAAACCCCGTTTACAGCAGACTATAAGCATATATTGCTTCATACCTCTAGGTAAGGGAAGTAGACAATAAAAAAAAGTTGAAGTTATCAAGTTTATCATAAACTTTTGATTTAAGTCACCAGTAACGTCTTAATAGTAAAATAATCCAATATGAAACATATGTGACAGACTTTGTGGTGTCTTTTATTTCTAGTTCACTGGGATATATCAAATCGACATATGAATGAAAGTACCAATATGCTAGTATTTTTAATTGGTTATAAAATGTCGAGTTGAAGGCCACAGCAGATTAGGCTTCCTAATTTATAGGGAAACCAGATCAAATGATTTCACTTCGTGAATATACCTATCCTCCCAAGTTTCTCCTTTACTGTTGTAAAAATATCAGCGTGGAGCAAATAAAGAGACTTGGTAATGAAACCCACTATGTATATATTTATAAGGATTTTTACGGTTCTGACGTTTCCTTGGCCCGTAAAATATCAAATCAGTGAAATCGCCTGGAAAACATCAGATATTTCGGACTACTCAGTCATGGGCTATTGGACTTTTGTGAGAAGTGCTGACTATAACATTTGACGGCTTACTTTTACTTCGAGAAAATATGCAGAAACTCAGCAGCTGCTCATTGCGATAAAAATTTTAGCTTAAGAGTTTATATAAAACGATATTACTCGATCATTTCAAAGACCATATGACGTTGTCTAGGAAGGTAGCGGCAAGAATCCTACCTTCAGTCCCCTCCCTTCCACCTTAAACAACTCCTGCCAAAATGTTGTTTTTTTTCATTTAATTTCAAAATGAAAATAAAAGATTATATCTCTCATGAATAAGATATTTTAAGTGATTTTATTATGCTCCAATCATCTCTTGTGTTGTTAATAATGTTAATGCCCTGTGGCAACGCACTTTGAAAACATTATATTATGCACTTTGAAAAAAATTTTCAAAGTGCGTTAAAATTGAGACAAAATCAACGCACTTTGAAAAAAAATTTCAAAGTGCGTTAAATTTGGGACACACTCGACGCACTATGAAATTTTTTTTCAAAGTGCGTTAAGAGTGTACATCAACATTTTTTTCCAAGGGGAAATTTAACGCACTTTGAAAAAAATATGTATAAAACAAAAATTCTAGACTAAGATTTTAGTAATTGAGAGAATTCATTTGTAATAATTATATCTTTCGAAAAACTTTTTTATTTAAATGTATTGAGTTAACTTCATTCAGACAAAAGAGAAGACGAGTAGATGGTCTCTCAGCCCAACTCTTTTTTTTTTACAAAGCCGACGGTAGCAAATTGAACGTGGACAACCGCCAACCCCCTAAAGGTAAGCCCAAATTTTCCATGTCTATAATAGTTTATTTAGTTTTCCGAGATCAGGTTTAATAAATATTACGTAAATCTTTGTAAAACATTCGTGTGTCTACTAAGCCCCCCTCCCGGTACCGATGCCTATACTACACCCAAATATATATGTATTTGCATAACTATTGTGACGTTGAAAACTTTCAACAAATAAATGCATGCAAACTGGAAAAAATTAAGCACAGTTAAACATTTAAGAGAGAAACAATTTTCAAAGTATGGAAAAATCAAAATCGCTCATTTTCACATCCTGAAGTGACCTTTACACCGAAAAGTTATCCAGCATGTTCAATTATTTATCATACCTAAGATTTGCAAGAATATCGACCATACACATTTTTTTTCAAAGTGCGTTAAGATGGTCGATATTAACGCACCTTGAAAAGAAATTTTATTTTTTCAAAGCGCGTTGATTTGGTCCCAAATTTAACGCACTTTGAAAAATTTTTTCAAAGTGCGTTGTGACAATGCCCTTAATGGACTTTTGCGAAGAGCACTGACTTTTACAGTTGACGGTTTACTTCGACATTTAAACCTCGGTTACGTATGGAGGTACGGGTTGAAAATAGATAAGAAAACCTTTCTAGTGGTCATAGGTATGGTGTTATGGGGCATTAACATGTGAAGGGGCGTATTTGAGGGTAGGGTAGTTGTCCGAATCTTCATTGGAAACTTATATGTGCTTTATGTCAGCCCGTTATTTTCGTTTAGTTAAATGCCGAGCTGCATTTTTTTTTATTGCAGAAGAGCTTCCGTATATTGCCCATGTGTAAAAGGAAGCTGTCGACTGTAAAAGTCAGCGCTCTTCGCAAAAGTCCACTACCATAACTTTAACTATTATTAATGTTTTCTTATCTATTATCCATTCCGTACCTCCGTACATCAAAGCAAGCCATCATGCAACTGTAAAAGTCAGCGCTTCTCGCAAAGTCCATTACTATGATGGTAAATCTTTAAAAATTCTAGCTTCCATTGCATATATGAATTCCCTTTATGATATAATGCTAGTGTTTTATTTCAATTGTATTTTTTTTTTTTAAGAAATCTTATGATTTCTTTGGATTCCATGTGCCAATTTTGTTCTTTTATGTCTATCTTATGCTACATATATGTCATGTGCCATTTCCTGAATAAACAAACAAAACAAACCCTTGCTGGCCTGATGAACCGGTCAACATAAGATAAGAATTGTTTGACCGATGCAAAAAGCATTTAGTTAAGTTTTTTTAATTGCTAGTACAAGATATTTTATTGTAAATAAATATTTTTTACAAAAATATTTAAAAGGATATAAAAACAATGTACATGTAAATAAAGTGCCAGATCTGTATCTCGTCAAAGACAAAAGAACAATAACTCTGTTTTCAATTCTTAGCATTGTCTTTTCAGCTTTAAAACTATCTCAGAAATAATCCTTTGTTGAAGTGAAAAATACAATACGATTCCTGAGTTCTTATATCTATTTGACAAAACATTCGTCACAAATAAATTTAATATCATTTACTGCTAATATATCAAAACCTAAATGATGAAATAAGAAGATATCCTGCAAGAAATATACTCGAAAGTCATTTCGGATCGGTTACCAGCGAAGAGTATAAACATTCCCTATCGATCACCCGTCTTGTGCCCCTTATTTTTAATCGGGTTAACGGGGTGAAATAAAGTTAACCTTATAAAAAATGTTGACTGAACTAACGACAAGTTGTATAAGCACACAAGCTGGGCTTAATATCAACAAGAGAATTTGATACATGTTAACATGTATAAATGGCCAATTCGAACACTTTCGAATTATCAACCAACTTGTCAATAGTTTGTCTGGGTTTAAAAATTGTTTGCATGTACAACATCGTCTTATATATTGTTTCAATTGTGAGACATTACTCAGGTAATAATTCTTAGGCCATCATTTACACATTGAATTGTCTACCAATTTTCCCTTTTTTTTCTTTTAAACATGACAAGGAGCGCATGGCGGATGTGATAAGTCGGCAGGGGTACTTCTCCATATGGCACCTGATCCCACCTGATTTTTGGGGGTTCCGTGTTTGTTCTTGATCATTATCTCTATATTTCATTGCACACGAAGTAGTGAAAAAGGTAAGTAAAATAAGTTACTAGTGTCAATCAATTTTATATGTCGCTATAACTTGCATGAACTTACCTTAAAGTTTTTCGTGTCATCCATTCCTGGGAGTACATGGTTGTGGGTACCGAGGGGAGGGGCAATAATTTTACTGATCTATTGTGTACTACAGAAAACTTAGCTACTACTTTGTGTATATTTTTCATCCGTTTGACATTTTCTCAATTTCATAGTTGACTTTAAAGGTCTAGAAATGAAACTGATCGGGGATAGATGCGGGTTCCTTCTTGGAATTTCCCCCTCAGTACTTGTTGGTCTTACATAGTTATAATCCTCATAGTTAAAAGAAAAATAACTCCTCCAGAATTATTAACACCAACTTGATAATTTACTAACATCAACTTGATAATCATGATAATCTTGTATAGAAAACAAGCACAAGTTTTCAATTCAAATCTATTTATTATTATTAAATCATTACAATTTTACAATTAGAAATGATAGTTTTTCATCCCCACATATATATAAAACGCGCTAAACAGCAAAATCATGTTCAAACATGTAATTGTTATTTTACATGTTTATTGGTCCACATTACCCAGAGAAATTTTCTGTTAACAGTATATTCATACAATATCGTTTTAAATATATGTGGGAATTAAATATCAATTAATCAATTTACAAGCATATGTATTCCCCATCTCATCTAAGTTTCATTACATGAACATCAGAATCAACTTCATCATTACAAAATTTGTATTTCAAAGCGAAGATTGATTTTCTTGCTCAAAATTTCCAAGACAAAATGAAAATTTTAAGGACAATATATAGTATCAATCACATTATGTTTGCATAATGCAGCATGCACTCAGAAAATTTGATTCTTACATTCATGAAAGTACTTAATGATATAGATATAATATTATCATGGTGTCTTTTATCTAAACATGCTTTTAATGATCACTAGGACCCTACTCCTAAAGCTAAACAATTTCCAGGGAACAATATAATGGCCGACTCCCCTTCCCACTTCACCACTCATACTTACATCCACACTACATGCTGATCTTCTCATTTATGACACCCTTGAATCTTCATATGTTCAAAATATATTTTAATCAAATATGAATACCTATAATAACAATATTCTATATAGGATTGAATAGGATTTAAATGATTGTTAAATCTGAAGCTTCAAGAGCATCCATACACAAAGTTGTGATCTCTTTGTCCACAGTAACCTTGCCTCTTGAGTTATTACCTTGATTCAAAATCAACATCAGCTTTAGGTTACAGGGAATAACATATTAAAGTTTGAATCCATTTCAATCATGGATAAAAAAAAATTGGCAAAACCATGACATATAGCCTAGCTACCTTGCTAAAGCTTATATGTCTTACAACAATTGTGTAACATACAAATATTAACAGACATCTTGGTTATTTCAATTCAGTAAAATACACAAACTTGAATTCAAGTTTATAAAACAAAAGCACAATATAACTTGATTTATGTTTGGTCCCTATCTTCATTCAAGCATTAATGGTCAATGTCTAAATAGACATGGATAATTGAATATCTTTATACAAGAATCCACAAAATCACATTTTTTTTTAATTCAACAAAACTCTGAATGAAATTATGCTGTAAGTGCATGAATTTAATTCAAGATGTTTCTAAACCCTCATATAATATGGGTGATAAAGAAAACTGAAAATAATACAAAAATACACACACACACATATACAGGATATTACATGCAGTATTCAACTAAACTTCTTTTATTTTTTTTTTCTTGATTTTTTTGTTTTACATTAAAAAAAAACTCTTGGTCCCTCTACTTCTCTTCATGCAAAATGAAACTTTAACAACAACAAAAATATCAATTGATATATACAATGTTAAATACACAGGTCTGGCTTTACAACCTTTCAGTCTGCATCTAAGATTGATGATAAAAAAAATCAGAAAACTATGTACAAACAACAACAACATTATAATACAAAAAACATACATCTGGTTTTAACCTATACAATCTTTCTAATATAACGCTGGATATTCATGAAGGAAAGAGAGAAATGCAACCTATTAAAAATGATTGGTATACTATTTAAATAAGAATTTCCATCCAAATCAATAAAGAATACTACAAATTTTGTTATTTATTTCTGTTACTCTTTAAATATATACTTGAAAAAATCTTGAATATTTCAGAACACATATTAACATTTGCAAAGAAAATACACAAAACATTTATTTAATTACACTTTTAAAATACTTAGAACATAAAAAATCACATACTAAGAGAAACATACAAACACAAAATTCAGAGGAAAACCATCTCATTATCTATATACATGATTTTGTTGCCATGGTTCAAATAATTTCAATAAACAGTAATGTTTATGAAAATCATATATTTACAATAATATTCAAGTCACATTCTAAGTAATGAATCTGAAGTTTAAAAAAGAAAATCCACAACAAATAAATGTCATTAGAAAAGAACTATATTCTACAAAAATACTATACCTCTATAAGCACATGAAATGGAAATTATTTACAAAACTTGGCATATGTGATGTATTAAGGTATGCATGTAACATGTATAAATCAACTCATCATTTAAAATACCATACTGGTATTGTTCATGATGAAAATGGTGAGGATAATAAACATGATTGGTCAAAAAATGGAAATAAAAAAATAATGCTGGCAATTTCCAACATTATATCATCATAAACACTCTTTCATATAAGTCTTAGTTTAGGTACGGGAACTGTTAGGTGTAACAAATTTTGACAAAATAATAAATGTCATTTTTTCATCCATATTGTGCTTCTTCCACATTCTGTAAGAATAGAAATATACACAATCATTCACACAACACAATTTTATGATAGTACAACTTATCAATGTTGTTGATAAGAAAACACAAGATGCTGTGTTTAACAGTGATTAGCACATCTGCCCTAAGACACAGAATACGGAGTTGATTCTTATATCACTGGTTTGAGTCCCACAGCAGGAATTAGATGAGACTGGATAAACCATTGTCCCATATAACACTTAAGTGCTGGTAGGAAAAAGATCCTAAACTGCTCAAGGCCATGAGTGCCGAGTTGAAGTCTAAATTTGCAGCTATCCACTGGAAGTCTTCATGACGACTCCGTATGAATGAAAAATTCTCATGCAGGATGTTAAACATCAAAAATAAAAAATGTCATTAATTTTTGAAGAATTTGTTAATATCCACCCTTTGGCTTATGTAAGCTTTAAATCAAACAATTCAGTTTATTGCATTACCTGGTCATTTTAAGTTTTCCCAAACTTTTTTCTAACATTTTTCTTTTTAGTTGCTGTCTTGCTTTGATTCTCTGAGGCATGATATGTTGCAGTCATTGAAAATATCTTATGATCCATTGCTTGCTTTTCCTGCAGCGACATTTAATTTAATATTATAAAAAAATTTCACAAGAACATTACATACATGTATAATTATTTTTTTGTTCAATCAATAAAATAAGCATTTGTAGTTTTTTTGTGCGATATAAAATACACACAGAACCATGTAGAGACAAGACTTATATACACTGATATTTTAGAGTTGTTTTAATTCAACCAAATGATGTTGGAATGAAATTCTTTTGGGGGGGGGGGGTATTTTGGTATCATTTCCCACACTTTATCTTAACATTGGTAAATACACGAGAACTGAGTGATATGGAAAAACAACACTTGTTATTATTATGTTCTTCATTCCCAATCATCAGATATGTTCATCATTTGTTGGAAAGGGGGTGGGTGCACAACTGAGAGATGTAAACTCCCTATGCACACGATAAAGGTCTATAAGTACATAAGTAAGGGAAGTTGACAATTGAAAAGTTACAGTTAATACGTTTATCATAAAGCTTTGTTTTTAGATTACTATAAATGTCTTTTACTAGTAAAATATTCCAATATAAAACAGGTGTCAGACTTTGTGATGTCTTTTTATTTTGAGTCCGCTAGGATATACGAGGGTCATTCAAAAAGTTTTGTCCTTAGTGGAATAAAAAAATAAGGTCATAATATAATTTGCATTTCTTTATTTCATTCCTTCAAAGTACTCTCCTTTCACACGTATACACTTTTTTAGCAAATCACTGAAAATTCTTATATTGTTTGATGAATTGCAGAGCCAAGTGATGACATAGGTTATAGCGTGCTAAATTCTTTTAAGTTTTGGGGGAGAAAAAAGTCACAAGGGGAAAGATCTGGAGAGTAAGCAGGATGGGGGATGACATTAACCCCTTATTTACACTGTTGTAATTTGGACTTGTGGTAAATACATGAGAAAAGACCTTTAATACCAGTTTTTGGACGTTTGTTTTTGTATTGTTGCTTAAGTTTATGCAAAATTTTACATTTGTACATCTTTCCAGTAATACCTCTCTTCAATAGGAAATTGCATCAAAGAAAATGGCATAAAGAATCTTCTTTGTGCTCTGACAGCGTTTGGCTATCACTGGAAGCTTTCCATGTTTTGTCATCCAGACTTTATTATGAAACTTTCTCTGCGGCTAAAAATAATGAACCCACGTTTCATCTCCTGTTACTAAGTCTGAAAATAGTCGATTTTTCCTCTTTTTGAATAGTTTGATTATTTTCTTCGCACATGAAACACGACTGCTTTCACAGTAAATGATTATCCACCTTGCAGATATCTTCCTATAACCGAGATCTATTGTAAGAATTTTATTAACTGCTCCCATTGATATCCCTACTATTTGAGCTAAGTCCTTAACAGTGTATCTTCCCTCTTTCTCTACTAAATATTTGATGTTTAGCAAGTATTTTGCATTACTAACTGTTTTTGTCTTTTACATCATCTTTAACATTTTCTCTCCCATCTTCAAAAACGGTTCTGAAACAGCTGTTTGTCTCCATAGATATTGTGTACCTCTTCGAATGTTTCCTTTGCTGATTTTTTAAGTTTAGCACAGGCTTTTATGTAGCTTCTCATTTCTGTTGTTGTATTTACCTTCTTCCCCATGATAAACTATCCGTGTAGTCTATATATAATTCTTCAAAAACTGAAGCAATTCTTTTTCTGCAAGGACAGTGTGGTTGATAATGAATTCAATGAACCATAACAAGTGTGTTTGAAGTGATCTACGTTCAAATTTTTATGTAGGACTTGGGAGGACAAAATTTTTTGAATGACCCTCGTATATTCACATGTATCAGAGAATGGATTTTACTAAATTTAGTATTAGATAGTAAGAATTCTGTTTTGATGTTTTAAATGTAAAAATGTATATTTTCATACATGTATCTGGGAAAATAACAACTTCAAAAGTATATTTTTAGATGGTTACCTCAATAAAATCTTGTATGAATCTGACTGTGTGGTAAATATGTTTTACACACAGAGTGCTGCAGATAATCTCAGACAGTCTCTTCCTGTGACCACCAACAGACACATTCTCATCTTCTAAGCTTCCCTGGGGCCAGAATTCTTCATCATATATATAATCCAGCAACTGTTGATTTAAGGATATAGTATTGTCATGCCCTGATAAGCATCTATGAATGAATATCTTCAGTGCCTCAGCTAGCACTTCAAGGTGACCTACATAACTACCTCCAATAGTTTCAAGTTTTCCTTTTCCTTCCGGTGGCAGGTCTTCTCTGTATTTTAAATCCAAAGTTTCAAGAATGGTTTCTCCATTTAATTCCTCCAACTTCACGTACAGACTGACAACATGACATAGTTTCACTGCATCCTCTGGCTCTGGTAGGAGGCGTTTGTATCCCTTGTGGAATATAGCAATGTCTTTCCAACTTTCAAGATACTCAGTAAGAGGTAAACTTGGATCTCCTTTTGTTTTCTTTAAGAGAGACAAAGACATTCCAAGAACTGTCATGAGGATAGTGATTTGGGAACTGTCACTGTCTTTTTTCTTTAATATTCCTTTTAAAACATGTTGTGGAAGCTTTTCCTGGGGGATAGATTTCCTTATACTTTCAAGCAACTGTATGGTATTTTGGAATAATTCATCAACGAACAAAATTCTTGGAAATGTTGATGGTACAGAGATGTATGGTTTCCCCAATATTAGTCCATGTGCTAGCTCACTCTCTATTTTTTGTAGATCATAGCATCGATCTTTTCCTTCTCCAAAATCTGATTTACACTGTGAATACCTTAGTATTCTATCACCTTTATCCCCTTCTTTACACTCGGAATATAGGAGTGTTTCATCATCCCAGGAAGTGAATGTTATGATATCCTTGGAGGAAAGCTCCCACAATGAAGTTGATTTAATTCGAGATTGTCCATCACCAACCATTAAAAAGTTGAGAGACTGAGCATCAGTTGTGGAAGCTAGATGCAAACAGGAATCTATGAAAAAATTATGAACTTTCACCAACTCTAGCAGCACTTTTTGTATCACAGAGTTTTCATCAGTGATGATGCATTTGATGACTTTGCTGTTGGAAGATAAAATGTCCTTTTCCTGAAATGGGGTCTCTAGTTGCTCATTTTGTTTTGTTAACAACTCATTCCATGATGCTTTGAATTCCTCAAACCTTTTCTTCAGAAGGCGCCTTCTTGTTTCATCATTTTCCATTCGGAAAAACTTCTCAATTGTTTCTTCTTTACAATCAACCTTTTTCATTTTGTAACTTCCAATGGAAACAGTTGACTGATGCCATCTCAATATTGGCAAAATGTATTTTGGCAAATCTAATCTGTCTTCTTTCTTCAAAATCAAACTTAAAAATGGATACTCTTTTGAGTTCTCTTCAGAAAAAACCTGTGCTTTCAGTGCATCCTTAATTGCTGGAGATGTCATTCGGAAAAGTCTTGGTAACATCAATTCTTTTTCTTGTGGACCTTCTATCTCAGACACCTCCAATATCTGGCACTCCAAAGAAGAAAGATCTATTTCTTGTTTTTTGCAAAGTGATCTTCTAGCTTCCATTAGGCTTTTGTATTTCTCTTTTAGTACTTTATGAATACCTGCCTGGAAATGCTTTTCAAGTTGTTCCCTATCTTCATTGGTTTTGCAAGTATTTGGAGCACTGCTTTTTGTAAATAGAATACACATATCATAGATAGCTACATGAATTAATGTACACTGCTCTTCGTCATTCATTTGTGTCAGCGTTTTGATACATCTCCACTCCTCTTGCAGAATTTCAGATAACATTTCTTCTGTTTCCTCCTCCTTTTTCAAAGAAAGTGCTGTTCTAATTCTCTCAGGATCAGAAAAGTTAGCAGCGAGTGATAAAGCAATACAGCCATGAATGAAAAATTGCAGTAGATGATACACTATTGGTGAAAGATTTCCAACTGGAATCATGTTTTGTCTTGATTTTTCATATCCAATTTTTCTCTTCTTCATGATTTTTTCTGGATTTTGTTCATGTGTCTTCCATGGTGTATTACACTCTGGACAAATACCATGTGAACTAAAGAATCTTGTTTTACAAGATGTGCAGAGTTGAACATTGCAGTCAAAAGACTCATCAGCCTTGATTACATCCATTCCTGGTAGATACTTAGAACTGATGTGACTAGGATCTGTCAACATGCTGTGCCATATATTTCCAGTTTCTCCTTTGAAGATGATCAAAACCAACAAATGAGTTAACACGGAAACAATTTGTGTATCTGGTGCTTTTGTCTGAGTGTTAAGATGGAATAATGGATGCTTGAAATCTGTAATCTTCAAAACCAAATTTGCAACTTGACATTGAGTTTTTGGAAGTCCATCCTTAAGCATTTCAAATATTTTTGCTGAGGTAGACTTCTGTGTGTCGCTCATTTCCACTAGTTGACCTTTCAAGTAAAAGGCATTTAAAAGATTGCCAACAAACAGAAACATTTTTTCATAATTTTTCAGCACTTCTGCAACAATTTCCTTCATGTGTTTTTCTTCTCTTTCTTCCATCTGTAATAATGCTTGCTCAAATTCTTTGTTGTCATTTTCATACTGTGATATTGGATGAAATGTCATGTTCTTTGACAGAAAGAGTGAATTCCATCCTAATGTCTTCAAAACTGGTAAGTGCTCCTCCAAACTGTTTGAACATTTTTTAAGATCATTCAGTCCTACTGCTGAATTCAAACATTTCAGTAAATACACAAGAATACACTGTGTTCTTTGAGCTCCAAAATAATTTTCTTCATCACCTGTCTCCATTAATGCATTAATAGTTTTTGTGATAATTGGAAATGCATTTCCATTCATGTCATTTTCTTTAAGAAGGTTAACATACACATTTAACAGTGTCCGAAGATAGGCAACTGATGCAACCAGACTTAAAGAACATCCCTTTTGACTTCTTATGACAGATGTAGCTTTAAAAGCCAATTCGAAAATTTCATGTGCACTTCCCCCTATAATTAATAAACTTTCTTTGTTGACTTTGCACGCATACAAATTTTGAAAAATAGTCACCATCTGGGATGAAAGAATTGAATCCGAGTCCTCATTTTTGCATTGAGCTTCTATACACTTATTCAGAGCATGTAAATATCCATCTTCAAGTTCCAAAGCCTTATTTTCAATTAAATTAAATATGGTGTCTTCTTCATTTTCCACTTCTATGATTATTTCTAAAACAGGACAAAGAAACCTCAGACTTCTGTCAGGCACAGATTCATCGGCAATGGATGATAGAAGCAATTCAACAGTCATGTTCTGTTCTGGATTGATTGCAATGCTTCTTGAGAGGTACAAACATACCAATCGCTGTAGTTTGATGATGTTTACCTTCTTTTCACACTCCATAAATTTGATTTGTGACAGCATTAATCTGAACATTTCATTGCTTTCAAGTTCTAGACCTTCAGACAAATGGTTTCCAAATATTGATAAAACCTGCACAGCATCTTTACTATCTAGAGAAAGGATAGTCTGAGCTACATCATTGCAGAATCTCAGCATATGGAGAGATGAAGGGTTTAGTGAAATTTCTGCAAAAAGTGGAAGAACACCACTAACTAAGTACTGCCATTCCCGAATAGAAGAAAATTTCTCCAAAAGTGCTGTAGTTGGTAAAAATATTTTGCACAGTTTATCAACAAACACATCTCTCTCCTCCTCTGTGGTAATCTCAACTGACTCTGAATCGTTCTCTGCTGGAATTTCTACAGTTAGTAGCATAGGACTTTCTGATTCATCTGCAGTTTCTTCTTCAACAAGATCATTTTCAGGGGCTTCCTCCATTCCATGAAGAATTTCATCAATAGAAACATCTGTATCCTTTTTCACAATACTCATGACTTGGACAATTGAATCTAAAACACTACCATACACCCACTGTAAAACATGAAGATGTGTAACTTGTAACAGAAAATCATTTTGCAAATCTTTTGCACCAAACAGTGTGTGTGCCCATTTTATCACTCCTATTCTCTCTTCTTCAGTCAGATGTCCCTTCTTTTGTGAAGTATTCATAAGTGAAAAATCATGTAGATATTCAGGTAATTTCTCAGGATAATCAACTTCACTGTATTCCATTAAATCCTGTTCAACAATATCTTTGTACTTTGACACAAGTTCTATGAACAAACTTTTAGGAATTTCATCATCTTCGTCAAGTTCACAGGAAATCTTTAGCTGTTTCAATGTGTTCAAGAAGTCGTCTTTTATTTTTTCAATCCTAGTCAAGATGACAAAACTGAAAGGTAGAATCAAATTTAGTCTTTCTGAACTGCAGGTGTAACACTCTGGACCAGACTGATCTGGAATTTCTGTGATGTTCATTAAACTATCTTTGAAAGTTAGACTTCTCCACAAAGCAAATCTGTCCGATTGGCCACCATCTTTTAAGAAGATACTCTGAAGTGCATTGGCCTCTTCAAGTTTGAAAATAATCTTGCACAGAGGATTTTTGATTAAACCTAGGAGGTATTGTTCCAGAGCATGCATGTAGCATGATGCTTTTAAAAGAGCGTGTTTGTCACAAGCAACCTCTCTTTGCCATTCCACAATATGTTTCTCAGCTTCTTTTTGAATATTGGAAAATACCAATTCCTCCAAAGCAGCTAAAGTGTCCTCCGATTCCTGGACATTACAAACAATTTTCATCATCTTCTCTGCAGTGTGACCTGTTCCAACATACTGTATTGTTGTAAAAGCCCAAAAGATGTACTCTTTTAAGGTGCCTGTCATGGGTCTTCTATTTTCCAACACTTCCATAACAGATAGGTTCATCATTTCTGTTAAAGGTGTTCTAGGCTCACGAAGTGTGTCCAACATGGCCAGTTTCCAGTCAGAAAGAAAGTTTATTTGAGTCACTGTTCTATGCTTATCTTCCTGTCTTTCCAAATGACAAATAATACAAACATTCTTTAACCCTGTCACTTTCTTTGAAGAGTTCCTTTTGCAATTTTCTATGGTCGATTTTGCTAGAAGAATATGGTCAAAATCTTCTACTACATTGCAGTGAAGAAGTAGTTGGCATGAATTCGATTCAAAAAAATGCTGTATCTTCTGACTTAAGTGCTTTTCTGATTTGAAGTTTCCTAACTTTTCAGTAACTGCTCCCTCTGGAATTTCTGAGTTCAGAATGGAGAGGACATCCGTGTCGAAAGTAAAAACAGCCACTAAAGATCCACTTGACATTGTTTCTGTTGAAGCATGTATTTGGTCTAAAAACTTAAGAAGTCCGCTATGTATTGGTAATGACAAGTATTCTTTTTCTAGCCTTCTGACTGTGTTAGCTTTTGTTTTCCAAAGCTCAGAATATTTCAGTCGAAATACAGCTTCTGGCATAGTTATCCAGAGCAAATGAATCTGACATTTTTGAATAATCATCTGTTCATCCTCATCATTTTCCTCTTTTTGTACTTTTAGCACAATGGATGATAAAATATTTTCTCCCGATATTGCAAATACATCATCAGGTTCAAACGAATAGCCTTCAATTTTGCTGAAATCTGCAATTAAATCTGCAAGTCCATTTCTTATGTTTATTGCCATTTCATTCATCATGTCTTCAAATCTGAATTGTTGTTTTTCAAATCTATTCAGGAATGGAGGGTCTGAGTAGTCCAATTTTGATTCTTCTACCAGGACAATGCATTTGAAGTCTTCGTGAACATGACACATTGGATTACTGTATGGACCAAGTGCCACTCTACAATTTTTCTTGCTTCCAACAACAGTGTAGTTTTGGTTCAGCATGTCATACAGACTTCCGTATATATTTTCCAAGTCTTTTAAAATCAAGATGTAACCTTGTTCCATGCACAGTATTATTCGACTTAAGATGCGGTAGTTGTAATCATCAGTTAAATCCTCTTCAAACTGACTTCCAAATATAACCACATGCTGACGTTCCATTTCTTTGATTTTATCTTCTAGGACACTTAGAACAGCATCACCATTCGTGATCAACATTAAATGTCTGCTTTGTTGATCCACCAGGTTGTCTTGTATTAGTTCTAATACATCAATGTCTGTTTGAGTTTCTGATGGTAAGCATTGTTCAAAGGCTGATAGCATTGACCTTCTCATTTCAAATGAAAGTCCTCCAAGATTTCTCAAAAGGCCAACAAGAATTACTTGATCAATACCTTCCATTTGCTTATCAAGAATTCCTTTTCCTATGTATTTAGTCAATGAGTAAAAGTCTCTCAACCCATGGAAATTCTTGTATTGCTGATTCTTGTTGTATGTACAATAAGCAATTGATAGCTTATTCAAAAGCTGCTTTACATCTTCAGTCATTTTTGTAACTTTGTCTTCCTTTTTCTTGACTGAAAATTTTGTAGCTTGTGTTGGGTCAGGCTGACTCATTAGGGACATTGTAATTGATAGAGAAGTTTCATACAACTCCTTTTCATCCATTTCTGGTCTGGACAGATGAATTGCTCTGTTCATTTTTGCTGCATCAAGGGCCCAGTTTGAAATTCCAACTACAGCAACATCTGGAGTAACTTGATTTTCTGGTTCCAAAAGACTGTGAAGTACTTTTAAGGGATTGAATCTAGAAATTTCAGCTAAACCAATTTCATCAAGAATTACAACTGACATCACATCATCTGACTGGTTGTGCTTTTGATAATTTTTTGCTTTCTCAAAGACTTTAATAATTCCATCAGATGTTGATGATTCTGATCCTTGAAATGACACACAGTACAGCTGTGGTAAAGCTTTGAAGAATGGATCTGAGGAGTCCTTTCCTCTGAGATTACTTCGTATGAGCTGCATTGACAATGATTTGCTGCATCCAGGTTTTCCAACGACAAAAACTGGTATACGATTCAATATGCAAACCAAAATCACGAATACATTTTCTCTAAGGGCTGTGTTTTTAGCTGTGCCCATTGGCATTTCCATTCTCTTTAAGATATCATTTTGCTGATCAATAATAATCTTCTCAACTTTTCCTTCCCCGTTTAATTGCAAGTCTGGCACCTCGCTACAACACTGTGCAACCTTCTCTCTATATTGCTTCCTGACATCGTTACTAGGAAAGCGGCTGTGGTAACAAATACTTAGTGCAAGTATAATTGCTTGTATATTAATCTTGTAGGGTTCGTATATATGGGTTTTATCCTTCATTTTAAGCATTTTTACAAACCACTGAACAAGTCGTCTGCATCTTTCAACATCTCTCAAGCTTACACAGCAGTCACTCCCCTCTTCACTTTGAACAAATTGTTGAGACATTGTTAATAAATTGACGAGCAATTTCTCTAATTTTCCCAAATTCAATCCTTCCTGGACCATTCTTTCTATGTATGCTTTTTCATCTTCTTTCTTTAAACTGCCATAGTCCCAGACATAATCAATCATTGTTTCTGGAAGAGGATGTACTCTGTATACTAGTTTTGACAACTGATCTGTTTTAATTTTCCCCTGAAGTCCAGACGTAAAAACAGAACTGTCTGATCTTAATCTGTATGGATTACATGCTGCAAGGATTTTCATATTTGGAGATAAAAGTGTCCCTTTACACCTGTGATGACATACAATGTCACAGATCTGCCCTAGATGATCACAAGTGTTTATTTCATCCAAAAACAACCAAATGCTTTTTCTGAAGTTTGTCTTTGCTTTGAAATCAGATTCAAAAACTTTTTTGACTATCATCTCTTCTGTCACCCCTGCATGAATACTCAAGACTTGAAAATCAATTTGGCACACCACTGAGAGATACCGGATCAATGAAGTCTTTCCACAACCTGTCTCCCCCATGATCACAATTGGCTGGTGGCCTTTTAATCTCAACACGATCAACACCATCTTTAACAAATTGTCAGGGGTCAGTGCATATCGTTTTGAAATTTTACCAAGTGCAGTATCAATTTCAGATGGATGCTGAACAAGTTTCAGTAGGATTGCTTGCAACTGTCTTTCCTCTTGTTTGCTAAAATCCTCCAATTTTTTCTTTAACTGGCTTTCAAAAAGGTTTGATATTTGTTTTGGCACTTTGTCCTTACATCTGTATAAAGCAGAAACAGTCTGCAAATCGTGATGGAAAAGGACCATCAAATGATTACTGTCCTCCCATCTTATCATTCCTTCTGTTCTTTTAGCCAAAACCTCTGCACAAGTCATGGAACTAGCTTGTTTTACATGCTTTGATGAATCCATTACTTCTATTGACGCAATTTGAGCAGATCTACATGCATTGATTGATCTTGATGAAAAATCAATAGACATATTTTTCAGAGCAGTAACAAGTTCACTTTTCACGGACTGATGCTGGATATTTGATGTTCTAAAAAATACACTGGATGACAATTTCTTTAACTGATCTGCAAGGACTCCTAAAAATATATTAACAACAGTGTATGACAGGTCCCCAGATGCTGAGAAATGCTTCTGAAGTAGGTTTCTGCACACTAAGGGAGATAATGGCTTGACTTTTGCATTTCCTGTTAAGTAAACATCTGCTTGATCCAATTGTCCTAAATCAAGCAACTGCAAATAATGACAAACAACTTGTACGGGACTGTTGACTTCTTGGCAAACATATATGTCACTGTAATTTCCCCATGTTAGATTCTTTCGCTTGAAGCAAGTCACAGTTGGTAAAGAATTGCACAAAGTCTGATTGACAGAGTTTGCTATCTCTACACAAATGTGGTCCGTTTGTAAGGCAAAGGCAGATTTCCGTGCTGACACAAATCTTAAAACAACCAATTCAAATAAAAAGGAATCAAGTTCAGATGGCTCATCAACTGGACCAACATCTATATGCAGGATATGATATGGTTTAATTGCAAGCCTCATCAATTGCTCAACTATATTTTCCCTGTTAAATATTCCACTGATATGTAAAGTTACTTTGCCCATGTCTTTCTGCAAAGCAAGTTTATGAATTTCTTCACTTTTCCCTAAACCTGGAACATCTGATGTTACAGTTATTACTTTTGGGTACTTTTCACCCAAAAAATCTTGCAACTCATTCTCAGTGATAGGTTTTGGTCGCATCACAAAATCTGCAAATTTTTCAAGAAATGGATGGTGGCTGCTCCCTCGGCATAACAATGCAAGATGAAAGGATTTATTTCCTTCTGTAAGCCGTAAACTGTCAATTAGATGGTCTTGTGTTTCATGAGTCAGAAGTTCAATATTTGCAATTGAAAACAGTTGGTCAATATTGCATTTCATACATCGATTCAAAAACAGTGTAATTTCATCAGAAGAGGTGTTTCTGTTGCATAAAAGAATATTATTTGCCAATGGTACTTTTTGAGTTGTATTCCAGTGTAAAGCTAGCAATGTTCTCACAACAAGAGGACTGCCTGGTTCCAGAGCAGCCACGTATAACCGTCCTGCTTGCACAATTTCCGAGAGTTTGCTTCTTGGCTTTTTATCAAACATCTTATCACCCTTTGGTATTAGGTATGTCCAAATGCTCTCTAAAGTTTCACCCAATACTTTAAGAATTTTCTCTGGGCTGCTGTCCTCTACATCTTTCTTGAATACACTCAAAATATTTTCTACATCTTTCACATCTGGATTGATGAATTTCAGTATCGTAATTACCGATTCTTTGTTCTTTCCATACTTTGAAAAATGATACAAGATTTGAAGCTGGTCTGAATAAATGTAATTCATCAGATAATACTTTCTGCGACATTCATTTAAAATTCTGCACCAATCTTCATACTTTGATTTCATTTGGTTAAGAAGGTCTCTTAATTCTTCTTTCCTAATCTTTTTACGGTCAAATGTTGCAAATTGAAAATGACCTGCTTCTTTCAGGAGTACACACATATCACATATATTCAATGCAATATCAATCAGCCCAATGAAAGATGGCAGATACTCTTTCCTGCTTGGTGAAGTCATTGTTTTTCCTTGTTTCTCCTCTGTGTTGATAATCAAAAGTGATCTGCTTCTTAAGTCATTCAGATACGCCTTTGAATAGGTGTGAGTTTTTTTATCTTGTTTATATTCAACAGCCAAATCACACTCTTTTTCCTTTAATAAGAAAGAGAATTTTCCACGCTGAACAATGCTTTCAACAATTTCCTTTGTGTGCTCACCTCTATTTGCCACATGATTGTAAAGAGCCTTCAAACTATGAAGATTGCTGGAACACTCATGTATCTTTTGTTCAACATTCTTAATCCCACTGCTTTCTAAAGATCTGTATATGGCGGTGAAAAATCCTTTGATGTTTTCATCATATTTCTGCTTCAGTAGTGGTTGAAGAAATCTCTTTCACTTCAATTAGATCTGAAACTGTAGACTCTCTGACATATTGCTCTGAATGCTCCTCTACAGCATCAATTAAATTTCTTATGTCTTCATCTACGACTGTCTGTAGAAATTCTATCAGCAGGGATGATCTTTGGAGTTCTTCTAATACTGCTAGCATATTACCATCTACAAAGTTGACTACCTTTTCAACTAGCTTCAATGATTCACCAATTTGAAATATTGTCAATTCCTCCACTTCTCCTTCTAGAAGCCTTTCATACTCTGACAAAGCATCCTGGAAACTTTGATCTTTTGTGACATCCACTTTGAAAGCATTCAACACCATTTTAACCAACTGAACTTGTTCATTTTGTGTTTCGAATTTACTGAATTTTTCGAGAGCTTCATGAACTCTGACAGTTGCTTTACGACAACAGATTCTTTGAGCTAATTCTAATTCTGGGATAATATCTGAATTTTCTAGATTTTTCTGAACAGTTACCACATGAGTGTCTTCGCCAGAGAGTAATGGTGACCAAAATTCTTGAAATCTTTGAAGAACATTGACAGATAAAAATTGAAGAAATTTATGTCCCTTTCGCAACTCTGTTATGATCTGACTCTCTGAATCATCTTCATTTTCTTCAAAGAGTAATGCAATTCCAAGTGAAGATTCTCCCTGATCTTCATCTACTTCAGCTTCAACATCAAGCTCGTGAAAATGCTCACTGGCAATATTCCAGAATACTTCAGATTTCACCACTTCGCGTAGGTTACTGCAGTTTTCCCAAATATCTTTTATTAAATTCTCATAATGGATGAGATTTCTTGCATCTGCAATATTCAAATCTCCTTGGTTCATAATGGAGTTTTTCTCATGAAAAAACTTCATACAAAACATAACACATTCCTTTTTTGGTAAATCTAAGTTCATTCTTTGCTTTATTTCTTCAAAAACATCATTTGTCATCTGCAGGTTTTGAGTTATTGACTCTTTTTCTTTCATAATATCATTCCAGCTCTTTTCAACTTCTTTGCATCCATTTTCATCAACTATTGTAAACAATTTCATGCACAACTTTCTTCTGTCTTGAAGACACTGCAACATTTCAAGCCTTACTGTTTTCTTCTCAACTGCCATTTTTAAATCGATGATTGCTTGCCTGGCTTTCACTGCATATTTGTTCTTAAATATCTCATCCTGTTTCTTCCCTGTGGCGGTTAATACACTTTTCCATAAAAGATGACTACTAGTGATGAGTAGAAATGCTTCTTCAGATCCCATGTCTGTCTGCAATCCAGAACACTCCATCAGTGTTAAAAAATATTGCAATTTCAGCCTGAAAAATAAAATAAACACTGTCAATCCAAGGAATTTTGGACAAAATATTGACATAAAAGGTACTTGGACACAGATTTAAAGTTAATATTTTCTCTGTAATATTACGACTTATATATTTTAATAGCACTTCACGCAAAAATTAATTGAAAATTTTATTTCATTTAAAAGTTATTAAAACTTCAAATTTTTTGGCAGTTATCACATCCTTCACTTTTACAGCAAACTTTATTCTTAGGAAAAGTGGCAATCTTGGATTAATGAAAATATTTAAACTTTAATCCAGAAAAATAATTTTAGTCAAAGTAGAAATGTTAGAAAGCATTTCCAAGTATATTTTGTTGAGTACAGAGTTTAGCAAATCGATCACATGCATCATATTTTTGCATTAAATTGTTGGTGTTTACAATTCACCGGGTGCGTTCAATCGTCAAAGTCTGCTCACCACAGCTGCATGGACTGACAATATATTGTGTGCTTGCTTTGCTTTCAAACATGGGATTTTCTGGATGTTCAAATTTTTCATTTATACAAAATATTTTTCCTATAATTTGAAGGAAGAGAAAATAACTTTTAAAAGTAATTTATTTTTGTGTGAAATGCTGGGACTGAAAACTTTATAACAGAATTTTCAATTTTTGTTAAAAAGAATAATGAAAAAAAGACAATCATATATCTTGATCTATTTGCATGTCTCTTTTTTGTGACATTTTGAAAGATTTCAAAATTTCTTTTTTTAACTGTAAGAGTTCAGCCAGAATTAATACAATTTTACAAAATTTTTAATTTTAATTCCATGGCAACATCATTCATCAAATTAAAAAAAAAACAATTTTGTATCTTTGTTGTACTTGTGTGCCAAGTTATATCATGCATGCCACAAAACTGCTTTAGGATTGATACTTTTTGAAGGCAACACATCTTGGAATCAAAAACTTATTCTTGATATGATTTTTTCTAGGTGTGCATTTACATTGACAGTATACAAAACTGTAAGTTTTTGCCACCAATTTCATTTTAGTAACCACAGCAACATCAATCTTTGAAATTGAAAACCTTGGTTTGGTTTGTGTGCAAATTTATGAATAGGGCTGTTGGAGGAGTCATTTTGAATACAATTTAATTTCTTTAACAAAAGTGTAACTGGGTCAATTAAAGACAGGGCAAAATTGTTTGCAAGTGTAAAAATAAAGCAGGGCGAAACTAACCCTGTATATAGTATTCATGTTAAAAAAAACATTGATCTTCTCATTGTGGCCCCACCCAATGCCAATTAGTCACGATTTGAAGAAACCTAAATATACTACCTTAAGATGCTTTCACATCAACATAAATAATGGCTTTGCTGTTCTTGAAAATTGGTCATCAGAATTTTTTTTTTTTAAAGATGTCTCCCCTCTATATTTTGAAATGATGTGTGTATTTTAATTCCCTTTTTTTAAAAAATGGAGAGAAGACAGAAAACTTTTTGATTAGCATGGTGGCATTAATTTTTTTTATTCATGCAAACAATCATTTATTTTAACAGTTTCGTTTTATGTATTTTATTAAAATTTTGACTTTAACAAACCTAATCTACACCATCTATCATCTACATTAGAATCTCTATAATTCCATCTCATGAAAAATACCGGTATATAAAAGTTTTGTTTGATAAACTGCTAAATTTGTGTCTAGCTATAAATTTTAATATATGGTATAAAATAAACAATGCTTACTTTGAATTCACTACACAAGCTTTTGTTTGTCCATACAATTCCTTTTTGTCGATATCTCCATTTGCAAGTCCTTCTTTGAACAATTTCTGGATGTGTGATATAAAAATGTCTTCAGTTGGTCCATCCTGAAACTGTCTCTCTATCTCTGACATTGTTTTGATGATGTCTTCAACATCAACTTCTTTCAAGTATTCAAAAGCCCTTTTATCCAGCTTCTTCAGAAGTGCATCATGTGAAGAGAGCCACTGAATAGAAAATATTTTACCAACATAGAAGTACAGACTTACAAGAGAATCTGATAACTGATTTCTCTTGAAAGTATCTCCACAATGATGTTTTGTTGCACACTCAAACCAAGTCAATACGATACTTTCCACATCTTCTTCTGGAATATCCTGAAAACTTTCCTCCATCAAACAACATGTAACCAAGCTGTGGACATCTTCATCTAATGATGTAGCCATTTTCTTTAACAACCTTATCTTGGAATCAATATTTTCAAACAGTGATCCATAAATACACATATCTTTCAGCTTGTAATATGAACTTTTTAAGTGATTTTTATTAGCCTTATCAAAACTTTCAATGAGGTATTTTTCAGCCTTTTCCTGAATCTTCTCAAGAGAAAGAACAGAACAACGCATCATTTTTTCCCAATCACTAATGAGAACTAGTATATTTCCACTTTTAGAGAGTTCCCCTAGTCGTCTTTCACAAGCAGAATGTAAAATCTCTAAAAATGAGGTCAGAGGAACTGCATTAATTATCTTCAAGGTTTCAAACATGACAACCTGTAAATCAAAAGGAAGGCTTCTTTGCAGTTTTTCCAGAAAACTGATTTCCTTTGACAGAGCACCCTTCATTGGTGCATCCTGCAACATTTTCTGAACTAATGCTTTTAAATCATGCTTTGCACCTTCAAAATCTGCATGCAGCTTATTAATGGAAGATTTGGAAACCTTTACATCAATCAGCATTTTGCTGCACATGTCTGCATCATACAGTGGGTATGTATAGATGCAAAATGACAGGAAATTTGCATCATCCCCCTCTACACAATGGTACACCATCTCGATAACCTTGAAGTAATCACTTTGCTGTGATTTTGGTATTAACTCTATAGGCACTCTTGAACACCTACGCAAAAGAGTACCAGAAAACTGAGGAGGGAAAAATGTTTGCAAAACCTTGCCTGGAATGTTTATCTGAACCAAAAAAGACACAAAAACTGCACAATGTTCCATAGTTGTCAAGTGCTTTTCTTGTGCAATCTTTATCATACGCTCTATGATACGTTTTTTCCCTTCCACATCCAAATGCGAAGATAGGTCCTTCATTTCTTCCATTTGTGTCATGTATTCATGTTCTTCCCCTTTTTTGACTGACAAAAAAATGTAATAACAGTGGGAAAAATATCCATCCACGACTTCTTCATAATCATGAAAAGCAAACTGTATTTGCACATGGGATGCATTTGAATGAAAAGTTTCAGTTGTGTAAACTTTGGTTTTGCCAAACAGCTGCCATTTCACAATTTTCAAATTTAAATGTATTGATTCATCATATACAATGCAGTAATTGTAGGAGAAATGTTGTCTATATGATGGAATTTCTAGTTCAACTTCCCATAGATTAGTATCAGGTATATTTTTCAAATCAAACCCATCAATTTCTTTGAAGAGAATACTACAAAGAGTAACTCCTAAAATTTTTTTAACATCTCCAGGAATATGAATCCTAAATGATACTCTTCTGGTCTGAAAAAAAAAATACAACAATAATAATTATATTTCACAGGAAATTAGCAACAGAGGTAAAAGTTTGATTACATGTAGTTCAACTACTTATTTTAATATTAACTGCTTGAAAGAAACCATGAATTATAAAACAGAAATATTCATTTTTGTACATTCATAAAGGGCTCCACATTTAACAGGTCGGGTACACTACCTTTAATATATGGAAGGCAATTTTTAACATGTGATGATGTTTTTGAATCACACCTGATTATGATTCATGTGGTTTTTGTCCAAAAAATTTTTCACCGAAAAACCGTGAGCCCCAATATGCACAAAATTGAAAGATTATATTAAAGATTTTTCATGTGGTTTTTATTGGTCAGGAGTTGTTTTAGATGATTAATATTTGCTTCAAAAACTGTACAAATTCTTTGACGGAAAAACCGTAGAGCTTCTTTTTCACTTTATATGGCCAAAATTGAAAGATTATATTCCAAAGACACTTTTCTGTGCTCACATTTCATATTGGTCAGGAGTTGTTTTAGATGATTAATAATTGCTTCAAAAACTGTACAAATTCTTTGACGGAAAAACCGTAGAGCTTCTTTTTCACTTTATATGGCCAAAATTAAAAGATTATATTCCAAAGACACTTCTCTATGCTCACATTTCATATTGGAGTTGTTTTAGATGATTAATAATTGCATCAAAAACTATACAAATGCTTTGACGCTTGTATGTGCATAAAAACATTCTCATAATTTTGAGGGGTTATATAAATAATAATTGCACACTTTATCGTGCTGTCTAAAACTATGTATACGTATATCAGACATGTGAAAAAAGCATTATCTATATGATTTAAACACCCACGTTTCTTTGAACAATGGTTTAGGCCATTGCATTACAAGTTGATACAAAGCTTCATAGTAAATCTGAGCATAGAAATGAAAGATTATATAACAATTTTAATATTTCTTTCATAAATCTAAAAAAAAAATTGAAAATGAGCTTCCAAGTGACAATTCAAGTTGCTCTTTATTTTCAACATGAATGAGTACTTGTAGTAGCCCATAATGCATTGCAACTCATTCATCAGTAAGTAAAGCAAACACACAGCTAATTTACATGCAAATTTATGCTGAAATCAGAAAATCAAGTGGTCCTGACCTGTTTCATGTTTGTATGCTTTTCCAGCACTATTGATTTTTTTTCATAGATAAGTAAATATTGCCAGGCACTTGCAGAAAATGGAAAAGCAATTTTACTGTGAAGATTTTTTTTGTAAAAGTAAAAAATGAAGAACTAAACAAGAGGCCCATCAGGATGGGCCACATCGCTCACCTGAGAAACTTTGACAAGGCTATTCTTAACCAATTTTCCCCCTTGTAATATCTATTGTGACCCCATCCTACCCCCAAGGGTCATAATTTGGACAATTTAAAATCTACACTACCCCAGGCTGCATCCACATAAGTTTCATCTTTTCTGGCCAAGTAGTTCTTGAGAAGAAGATTTAAAAAAAAATTCCTATATATTTCTATGAAAAACTTTTTTTCCCTATTGTGGCCCTGCTCAACCCCCAGAGGTCAAGATCTGAACAGCTTAGAATCTACACTACCCCAGGATGCTTCCACACAAGTTTCAGCTTTTCTGGCCCAGTGATTCTTGAGAAGAAGATTTTTAATAACCTCACCCTATTTTTGTCTTTTCTTGATTATCTCCCCTTGTGAAAGGACCTAGCCCTTCATTTTACCAATTTAAATTCCCCTTCACCCAAGAATGCTTTGTACCACGTTTGGTTAAAATTAGCCCAGTGCTTCTTGATGAGAAGTCGAAAATGTGAAAAGTTTACAGACGGACGGACAGACGGATGGACGCTGGACAAAATCTGATCAGAAAAGCTCACTTGAGCCTTTGGCTCAGGTGAGCTAAAAACATGTCACCTTTTTATCAGAAATTCATTTACCGTAGTTGTTACAAAAGAAGACAAGGTTTATACAAAAGGTTGGAGAGCAAGAGGCCAATAGGCCACATTACTCACCTGAGCACATGGGCTGGGTTACAAAAACACAAATCAGCCCAGTATTGAAAAGTTTACTTGTTGGGGGAGAGGGGATTTAAATTTTTTATTACTTGAGAATGTCAATATATCAATAAAACATACATATATAATTTCGCCATACTTGAGAAGAAGAATTATAAAGATATTTCCTTTATATTTCTATGTAAAGATTTGATTGCCCATTATAGCCCCCATTTACCCCGAGGAGTCATGAAATGAATTAACTCTAACTGAGAATGTTTCCATATTATTATCACCAGTAAATAGTTTTGCTGATCATTAGAAGAAGATTTTTTTTTTATGATTTTTCCTATAGATTCCTATGTAAAACTTTGATCAGCCATTGTGAACCGTTCACGGTACATATTGTAGCTCAGTCGGTAGAGCGCTCGCTTCATGATCGGGAGTTCGTGACTTCGAATCTCGGCAGCGACTGACCTAAGTCGATAAAAAATGGGTAGCAACTGTTCCTTGGCCATGCGCAAGGCACTTTGAAGTGAAAGTTGCGGGTCCTTCCGATGAGACCTTAAAAACAGAGGCCCCGTGTCAGCAGCAGGCGTTGGCACGATAAAGATCCCTCACTACTCAATGGCCCTGAGTGCCGAGTAAAGGTCAAAATTTGAAAACCTTCACTGGCATACGGGACACGTCCATATAAGTGAAAAATTCTCTCGAGGGACGTTAAACAATAATCAATCAATCAATCAGCCATTGTGGCCCTGCCCTGGGGGTCAGGATTTGAATAAACTTTAATCTACAATACTTGAGGGTGCTTCCACATGAGTTTCATTTTTCCTGGTCCAATGCCTCTGGAGAAGAAGATTTTTAAAGATTTTTCCTATATATTCCTATGTAAAACTTTGATCAGCCATTGTGGCCCCGCCCTACCCCTGGGGGGTCATGATTTGAACAAACTTGAATCTACACTACCTGAGGATGCTTCCGTGTGAGTTTCATCTTTCTTGGCCCTATGTTTTTAGAGAAGATTTTTAAAAGATGCCATTAATTTTTCATTAATTCATAATTATCTCCCCTTGAAAGAGGGCTTGGCCCTTCATTTTAACACACTTGAATCTTCTTCACCCAAGGATACTTTGTGGCAAGTTTGGTTGAAATTGGCTCAGTGGTTCTTGAGAAGAAGATGAAAATGTGAAAAGTTTACGATGACAACGATGACTATAACGACAATGGACAAATTTTTCTTGAAAAACTTTGGCAATGCTGTTCTTTACTAGATTCTCCCCTTATAATATGTACTATGGCCAAAGCCTATGCCCTGGAATAATGACTTGGAAAATTTTGAATCTACATTGACCAAGGAAGCTTCCAAATAAATTTCAGGTTTCCTGGTCCAGTGGCTCTTGAGAAGAAGATTTTTTAACATTTTCCTATATATTTCAATGTAAAACTTGGATTCCCTATTGTGGCCCTGCCCTACCCCCTGCGGTCATGATTTAAACAATTTAGAATTCACACCACCCAAAGATGCTTCCACGTAAGTTTCAGATTTCCTGGTCCAGTGGCTATTGAGAAGATTTTAAACATTTTTCCTATATATTTCAATGAAAAACTTGGATTCCCTATATGGGGTCATGATTTAAACAATTTAGAATTCACACCACCCAAGGATGCTTCCACGCAAGTTTCAGATTTCCTGGTCCAGTGGCTATTGAGGAGAAGATTTTTAAACATTTTCCTATATATTTCAATGAAAAACTGGATTCCCTATTCTGGCCCTGCCTACACTCAGAGGGTCATGATTTTTATAATTTAGATTCTACACTACTCTAGGATGCTTCCACATATTAAGTTTTAGCTTTTCATGCCTATTGGTTCTTGAAAAGAAGATTTTAAAAGTTTTTCCTATATTAATTTCTATCTAAAACTTATTATATGTACTATGGCCAAAGCCTATGCCCTGGAATAATGACTTGGAAAATTTTGAATCTACATTGACCAAGGATGCTTCCAAATAAGTTTCAGGTTTCCTGGTCCATTGACTCTTGAGAAGAAGATTTTTAAACATTTTCCTATATATTTCAATGTAAAACTAATGGATTCCCTATCATGGCCCTGTCCTACCCCCAGGGGTCATGATTTTTTAAAAATTTAGAATCGACACTACCCCAGGATGCTTCCACAAAAGTTTCAGCTTTTGTGGACCAGTAGTTCTTGAGAAGAATGACTCCACTCTATTTTTGTATTTTCTTGATTATCTCCCCTTGGAAGCTGATTTGGCCCTTTATTTTAACAATCTAAATTCCTTTTCACATAAGGTAGCGTTGTACCCAGTTTACTTAAAAATTGGCCAAGTAGTTCTTGAGAAGAAGTTGAAAATGTGAAAAGTTTACAGACAGTCGGATGGACTATGGACAATGGGTGATCAGAAAAGCTCACTTCAGCTTTCAGCTCAGGTGAGCTAAAAATCAAAGCATGAGGAATTGATTAAATACAAACATTAAGAAACTTTAAAAGAGTTATTTTCTTCTTCTGGGCACAGAAATTGGATGCTTGTCGTTTATCAGGTCAAGACCACTACCTTATATGGAAAGCAATTTTCAACATGTGACGATGTCTTCGTCACACCCGTTCTCCAATCAAATGAATGAGTCCCAAAGCATGACACTCTACTACATGTTTCCGATTCAATGGCGACACATGGTTTTTGGCGTTTTACTGCACATTATTTAACCTGTCACCGGAAAAAATGTAGAGCTTCTTTATCACTTTATAAGACTGAAATTGAAAGATTATACATGTGTATTCTAAAGACATTGCTCCATGCTCACATTTAATATTGAAGTTGTTTTAGACAATTTATAGATGCTTCGAATAACGTACAAACACTTTGACGTTTGCATGTATATAAAACATTTTCTGATTATATATTGAGGGGTTAAATAATAATTGCACACCTTCTCCTGCTGTCTAAAACCAAGGACCTATATACTACCTGCTTAAACTATGTACACATATATCACGTGAAAAAAACTCAATGTTTTATCGACACAATAGCATAGGTCCAGGTCTCTTTGAACAATGGTTTAGGCCGATGTATTATAAGTTGATATAAGGCTTCATAAAGCAAATTTTGTAAATGTGAGCATAGAAATGACAGATTATACATCAGTTTAAATATTTCTTTCACAAATCTCAAAAAAGAATTGAAAATAAGTTTCCAAGGGACAATTAAAGTTGCCCTTTATTTTCAACACAGCTGGGTACTTGTAGTAGCCCACAATGCATTGCGGCTCATTCAGCAGTAGATAAAGTAAACAGATAGCTTATTTACATGCAAATTTATGCTGACGTCAGAAAATCTAGTGGTCTCGACCTGTTTATCATGTTGTTACTGCTCGTTATGTCAATTTTGTAAATTTGTTAGCATATACATGTAGCAATTGAATGTGCTCGAATTCCCCGACATTATATAATTTATTCTCAAGATATTGATCATTACAGGTTAATAAATATTCAATAATATATTAAACATATATTATCAATAAACTAACTAACTCTCCATTGTCAGGCTTAGCATAGTTGCTAATCAGTGACCATGTTTGTTTAGCACAACTCACTTTCCCTCAAAACATCCAAGGTGTGTGGTAGTCATTAGTATAAACACAATTAACTACCGGGATTCAAATCATGGAAAATTAGGTGTCAATACTGAAATGCAGTAAAAAGTTAATCATGGCGGCCACCGATTTTAACCATGGCGCAGCTCAATTAACCATGGAACACATCACTTTAACCATGGCAGGCAGGCATGGTAAAACCCCTTGTTCAAGAGAACCCTGTGAAATGTTTCTCTGCTTTTCTAGTATCTTTTCTTTCTCTCCTTGTATTCTTGATTTCCATGAGGCCTCTTAATTCCAGCTGATACCCAGCCTTCCACACCAGTTGCATTTAGTTTAAATCTTGCCTTTTCTCTTAATTCACACAAATTCACAGGTACATGAGGAATTGAGTACCTATTGTATCCCCTACTGAACAATTCCCTTGGATTATAGCGCTTAGAATTATAAGAACATCCCCTTCTTCCTAGAGTTCCACATCTACAAGTTTAAGGGTTTCTCAGATTTTCATGGGTACAGGGGAATCCTTCACCCACGCTTCGGGGCTTGGTGGTAGAGGTAGCTACCTTACAATCATTCTCCCCTGTAGTCATTTCCAACTTTTTATATCTGTCGGTGGACAACTCTGTGGTCTTTTGACAGTTCTCTTTCTTCAACTCGCAATTCCTCTTGCATAGCATTTAGGTCCTTCCTGCAGTGTCTTCACCCTGATTCTCTTCAATGCCAGACAAAAATTTTCAGACTGTCCACATTTGTCCAAAATGACAAATAACATAATTAGACCTCTAAGACACCAATGTTAGTAGGATGCCATAAGACAAGAAATTTTACTACACGTACAAAAGTTTACCTTAACCTAAAGCTACTCAAATAGAAACTATTATATTAAGCAATTAAAAAAACTACACACACAATAATATATATCTACTTCTCAAGTTTATAACATCCTAACAGATTGAGACTCACCTTTTCATGAAAGTTGTATCCTAATGGAGAGAGACTTCCAAAAGATTTATTATCAGGGTAAGAACCTGGACTTTTTTTAGCCTGTTGAATAATTTATACAGATATTAACAAGATCATTGCATGTGCAGAAGCTGATGATTTTATTTACATGTATTTAAAAATGTTAGCTAACCTAATCAGTTAGATTCTTTTCTTAAATAAAATGTATGTCAAAATATTTGCTGCGAGAATCAAAGCTAAAAAACTGAAAAATTACATATTTTCGAGGGGTTAAATTTTCGTGGTTTGAGGTATATACATTGGTTCATGGGGATTTGATTTCACGCTTCATGAAGAATTGTTCAGTAGTAATATACATGTGTATATATGTGAACAATTGCATTTCGGTGTGGACATAAATTCGTGGGTCTCTTCTTACCTTGAAAACCATGAAAATTAAACCCTTGAAAATTAGTGATTTCACAGTACTCTAGTTCTGATTGTTAGACATAATTTAGAATATCAAGAAACATAAGAGGCCCATGGAAACTCTTGAATGGTCTCCTGAGTATCACAGGTCTCTGAGATTATGAACAATTTCCAGGCCCATCCAGAAATGTTTTAGGACAAGTATTTGTCTAGCTACTGCATCATTCTTCTTTTAAGTGTGCTTTTTCTGAGAAAAAAGGGACATATTGTACTTTTCAATGCATTTTAAAGGAAGATGCCTTAAAAATAGTATTTTCTGTTTGTTTTCATGCTCTACATATCACAAAGAAAAAAGCAAGTTATGGAAAAAACATACTTAAAGCTCCTTTTCTTTTTTTTTTTTCAAAGCACCAAGGATGCTTAAACGGATAAATGCAAGTCATTTTTACCCCTGTATTTTGTCCTATCTCAGATTCATGCTTCCTCTTCAACTTGTCCTCCACTTCCAACTTTGATGCCCTTTCAAGAAAATTTTTTTAAAAAAACATATATATATATGTCCCATGTGTCACAATACTGAAAAAGATGACCTTTATATTTAAAATGTAAAATGACTTGGAAACATTTAATGTTTGACATGCAAAGGGGTTACAAACTATTGAAAGGACAATAGTTACTTACATACAGAATAGTTTGAACATTTAGACCTTGAACACTTCTGTCTAAAATCAGATTTTAGTATATGTTCATGTATTTAACATGAAAGTATAACAAGAGGCCCATGGACCACATGGCTTACCTAAGTACTGTGGCTAGGAAAAAGCAAAATCAATCCAGTATTGAAAAGCTTAAATGCATAATTGGTCCCTAGTACTTATCCTTGGGGGGGGGGGGACTCTCTCACCAGAGGGAGTATTACACTTCGCTACAACACCTCGGTCAACATCTAAGATTCTTGGCAAAACTTATTTTTACCCATTGCATAAAAAATTATATATATATAAAAACTTCTAAATGCTTGTCTTAAATCTTAAATGAAAGTTTATTTCTGAAAATTAGAAACGGATATCGCTTTTTCACCATATCTTACAAGGGATTATTTCTCGGCAGAATATTACGAACATGGCAAATTTCAAATGCACTGCCAATAAATATCAACCATGTCAACATGGTTAAGTTTTTTTTAAACAAACAATTTACAGTATTGGTACATATATAGAGAAATGTAAAGATGTTAATCTTCCTGTGGGCCATTTTAAACAACATCTGAAAAATTCACATGCCTGAGTGCTTTCCATACGACTGTGTCATTTATTAATGGTCTGAAATAAAATTTATAGGTTTGTTGTACACCATTTTTTCAATGAATTATGTAAACGCTTGATAGAGCTTATTATGTTAAATAAATAATTCTTTGACAAGCCTCTTGCAGATTACGATATCGTAACCAGTTTGAAGAACTAGTTTATCACACTTTCGCAGGTTCTGTCAACAAGCAAGAATGTCATTTCAAGAGATTTATAGATAATACCAGAAGTCTCTGTCAAGACTGTTGCTCTACTGCTTTGTACTTATAATAAAGGTAGAGAAAAGTAGCAGTTTGGACTTAAAACTTTACACAAGAGGCCCATGGGCCACATCGCTCACCTGAGAAGCTTTGACAATTCTGTCCTTTACTAGATTTCCCCCTTGTAATACAAATTGTGACCCCACCCTACCCCACTGATCATAATTTAGACAATTTGAAATCTACACTACCCCAGGATGCTTCCATATAAGTTTCAGCTTTTCTAGCCCAGTTGTTATTAAGAAGAAGATTTTCAAAGATTTTTTCCTATATATTTCTATGTAAAACTTTGATTCCCCATTGTGGCCCCGCCCAATCCCCAGGTGTCATGATTTGAACAATTTAGAATCTACACTACCCCAGGATGCTTCCACATAAGTTTCAGCTTTTCTGGCACAGTGGTTCTTGAGAAGAAGATTTTTAAAGATTTTTCCTATATATTTCTATGTAAAACTTGGATTTCCCATTGTGGCCCCGCCCAACCCCCGGGGGTCATGATTTGAACAATTCAAAATCTACTCTATCCCAGGATGCTTCCACATAAGTTTCAGCTTTTCTGGCACAGTGGTTCTTGAGAAGAAGATTTTCAAAGATTTTTCCTATATATTTCTATGTAAAACTTTGATTCCCCATTGTGGCCCCGCCCAATCCCCGGGGGTCATGATTTGAACAATTTAGAATCTACACTACCCCAGAATGTTTCCACATAAGTTTCAGCTTTTCTGGCACAGTGGTTCTTGAGAAGAAGATTTTCAAAGATTTTTCCTATATATTTCTATGTAAAACTTTGATTCCCCATTGTGGCCCCGCCCAATCCCCAGGTGTCATGATTTGAACAATTTAGAATCTACACTACCCAAGGATGCTTCCACATAAGTTTCAGCTTTTCTGGCACAGTGGTTCTTGGGAAGAAGATTTTCAAAGATTTTTCCTATATATTTCTATGTAAACCTTTGATTCCCCATTGTGGCCCCGCCCAATCCCCGGGGGTCATGATTTGAACAATTTAGAATCTACACTACCCCAGGATGCTTCCACACAAGTTTCAGCTTTTCTGGGCCCAGTGGTTCTTAAGAAGAAGATTTTTTAATGACCCCACCCTATTTTTGTCTTTTCTTGATTATCTCCCCTTGTGAAGAGACTTGGCCCTTCCTTTTAACAATTTAAATTCCCCTTCACCCAAGGATGCTTTGTACCAAGTTTGGTCAAAATTGGCCCAGTGGTTCTTGAGAAGAAGTCGAAAATGTGAAAAGTTTACGGACGGACAGACGGACGGACAGACGGACGGACGGACGGACGACGGACACAATGTGATCAGAAAAGCTCACTTGAGCCTTCGGCTCAGGTGAGCTAAAAAGCAACAAGAGGCCCACAGGTCTTATAGGTCACCTGAGTATCATGTAACAACTTTCCAGTGATTGTATTTGGTTCGTGTTTTAATCCAAAAGCCATGAAATTCACAAATTTTGAAGGAGGCACCATTGCTTATCAAAGGGCATATTTCAAAGCATTAATTTATTTTTAGTCAAAGTACCCCCCTGGTACCCCTGACCCAGCAGCCCTGAAATTATCTATTTTGAAAGAGACCCCTTTCTTCATTATAAGGCCAGCATTTTTTTATCTTTAGGTTTAGTTATGAACATGAGAATAAAAAAGTCCCGAAGGAGAAGGAAATAAAACAAGAGACCCATGTGCCATATCGCTCACCTGAGTAACTTGGGTGATGCAGATCTTTTTTAAAGATTTGTTCTATATGTATTTCTATGTAAAACTTGGATTCCCTATTGTGGCCCGGCCCTACCCCTGGGGGTCATTTTTTTTAATAAGGCCTCGAAAAAAAATATGTTTGTTTCCGCTTTCAGGCTGAAAAAATATAGGGTAGGTAGGTAGGCAATTTTTTTTTTTTTTTTGAAAAAATTTTTTTTGCTTCTTTAAGCAGAACATGTATAGAAGTAACATTAATGACAAAAGAAATGGTGTTTTCAAGCATTACTGTGACTTAACTTATAATAGAAAGGTGACCCAAACTTCTTTCTGTCTTGAAAAGCTTGCAAAGTTGGAGGCTAAAATTCCCTGGTTGAAATCTTGCACATCATGGGACAAAAGCATTTAAAAAAATATTTAGGGTCGGCACTATAAATTAGGGTCGGTCGGGAAAGCGGAAACAAACATATTTTTTTTCTAGGCCTAATTTAATATCTACACTACCCAAGGATGCTTCCACATAAGTTTCAACTTTCCTGGCCCAGTGGTTCTTGAGAAGAAGATTTTTTAAGATTTGTTCTATATATTTCTATGTAAAACTTGGATTTCCTATTGTGGCCCCGCCCTACCCCAGGGGGTCATGATTTTAACAATTTAATATCTACACTACCCAAGGATGCTTCCATATAAGTTTCAGGTTTCCTGGCCCAGTAGTTCTTGAGAAGATTTTTAAAGATTTGTTCTATATATTTCTATGTAAAACTTGGATTCCCTATTGTGGCCCTGCCCTACCCCCGGGGTGCATGATTTTAACAATTAATATCTACACGACCCAAGGATGCTCCCGCATAAGTTTTAGCTATCCTTGCCCAGTGGTTCTTGAGAAGAAGATTTTTAAAGATTTGTTCTATATATTACTATGTAAAACTTGGATTCCCTAATGTGGCACCGCCCTACCCCCCGGGGTCATGATTTTAACAATTTAATATCTTCACTACCCAAGGATGCTCCCACATAATGTTTAGCTTTCCTGGCCCAGTGGTTCTTGAGAAGAAGATTTTTAAAGATTTGTTCCATATATTTCTATGTAAAACTTGGATTCCCTATTGTGGCCCCGCCCTACCCCCGGGGGTCATGATTTTAACAATTTAATATCTACACTACCCCAGGATGCTTTCATAGAAGTTTCAGCTTTTCTGGCCCAGTGGTTCTTGAGAAGAAGATTTTTTAATGACCCAACCCTATTTTTGTATTTTCTTGATTATCTCCCCTTGGAAAGGGTCTTGGCCCTTGATTTTAAAAACTGAAATTTCCCTTCACCCAAGGATGATTTGTACCAACTTTGGTTAAAATTGGCCCAGTGGTTCTTGAGAAGAAGTTGAAAATGTGAAAAGTTTACAGACAGACGGACGGACGACGAACAACGGGTGATCAGAAAAGCTCACTTGAGCTTTCAGCCCAGGTGAGCTAAAAATTTTTGATAAACATTTGTACATTCTTTTTTTATGCTATTCTAATAGGCTCCTTACCACTGGACACATAATGCTTACAAATAGGAAAGTAGAACATTTAATTGCTTATTTCATCATCTGCCAGTTTGGGTAGTTTGGGCCAGTTATATAAATTTTGTGATGTTGGTTAAAATATATTTTAAACAAGAGGCCCAGGGGCCACAGCGCTCACCTGAGCACATCGGGCTTGAATTTACCCGCCCGCCCCTCCAGGCGTTCATCATTTGAACAAACTAGAATCTACACTACCTGAGGATGATTCCATATAAATATCACTAATCATAGCTTTGAAGTACCTGAAAAGAAGATTTTAAAAGGTTTCCCTATACATCCCTATATAAAACTTTGGTCGGCCATTTTGAACCCACCCTAGCCCCAGGGGTCATGATTTGAACAAACTTGAATCTACACTACCTGAGGATGATTCCACATGGGTTTCATCTTTCCTGGCCCAGTTGTTCTTGAGAAGAAGATTTTTAAAGATTTTTCCTATATATTCCTATGTAAAACTTGGGTCGGCCATTTTGGCCCAACCCTTGCCCTTGGGGTCATGATTTGAACAAACGTGAATCTACACTCCCTGAGGATGATTCCACATGAGTTTCATCTTTCCTGGCCCAGTGGTTCTTGAGAAGAAGATTTTTAAAGATATTTCCTATATATTCCTATGTAAAACTTAGGTCGGCCATTTTGGCCCCACCCTAGCCCCGGGGGTCATGATTTGAACAAACTTGAAT